GAAATTATTTTGCTCATTCTTTTCCGTCTTTTTAATATTTAAACTAATATATTATTGTTTAAATATTACTTTATTTAATATCGATTACATTATTGATGGGTCTTATGAGCTATGCGACCTTTAACGTAATATACTATTGCTTAAATATTGCATTATCGCATTTCGCGTACATTGTACATTATTTATATAATTATACAATGGTGGTATCTGTAATAGGATTAAATGTAGCTGTACGGAAAGAGTGCATTTCGACGTTTATTCCTCGGAGTAAGAAAGGAGACTTACTCTGGTAACTCGCATTGTCCATTCAAAGGGCCTTCTCGTTGATATTTGACAAACGATGCACTCTGAAAGAAAATTATTCAAAGTCCAACGGGAGTCTTAAGAGGTCTTTTATACGAAGCTTTACAGAATGGTAATATTGGTTAAATTTTTATTACATTGCATTAAGGCTAATTCGGTAAAGGAACCGAACCGATGTCGCTGATGTCGCATAAAAAAATAAACATTCATTTTAGGGAATGGCAAAAAACTTGGATTTAGTTTCAATATGTAATATATTTTACAAAAGTTTCATCGCGATTTTTTGTAATTAAATATTCAAATATTTATTTACAAAGTATGATTACTTAAAGCATCATTTTTATTTATTTATCACATAATAGATAAAGAAATTGTAGTTATATTATGAAGGATTATCAACTTGTAAAAATACATACTACACGTATGTATTTATTCATGCAAAATAAATTGTGCACAAGTAATGAGGTCGTCGATTATTTCGTACAAGCTTTCGATTGATACGATATTGAAATAAAATACATATATTATTAAGTATTTATTCTTTTTACACCAGCAGTTTACTCAAAGAAAATCCTTACGGCACAGTTGTATATTTTACATAATGATGTATATTTGCATTTTCTGATAGAGCGACCGGCAATGTCTCTCTTTTCAATGTTTTATTTTTGATATACTAGTCCTGGAAAAGAGCAAAAAAAGCAAAGAATTTAGAAAATTTTTATATTAATCAATACAATATGTATAAAGTAAGAGAGAGAGAGAGAGAGAGAGAGAGGGTATTTACGTTTGCATTTGTTTACTACCGCTGAGAACTATATACGGTGATTGAGTTTCTTTTTGCTTTGCTTGTAATAAATTAAGTGTTCCCAATGGCGTATCCGTCGAAGACATTCTTTTCATTAATACCTCTTGCTCAGCTTTTTTCATACGCTTTTCCACCTGTTTTAATATTTATATAAAAAAAATTTCTCCTTTATACATACAATTAATGAAAAACTATTAAATATAATAGAGGACCTTATTCTTTCCCGGTCCTTTCCCATGAAATTTGTGTGAAAGATAGCGAAAAGCTTCCTTTGCACTTAAAACGTGTCCATCGTCATCTATGTACTCCAATTTAACATTTGGCTTAAAGCCTTCTTTCTCTTTAAAATCTGATGTAGGACCATTGAAACGATCTCTTCTTCCAAATTTATCGTCATCTCTACAAAAAGAAAAGGAAAAAGAAAAAGAAAAAGAAAAAGAAAAAGAAAAAGAAAAAGAAAAAGAAAAAAAAAGAAACAAGAAACGAGAAAGAAAGAAAAGCACGTAAATATATGTAATATTATACTTGGATATATAATATTACATAATTATGCGTGTGTCTCCTCCATTCGATAGATACAAATTTGGAAATTATATTACGATTCACGCCAAAAACTACTGCTTCCAAATATTATTCCTTTTCATAACTTTCTCCCAACGAAAATATAAAATAGCAGTGAGATAGAAAATACAATGGATGAAGGAGAAGGAAAAGAGATATACCCATATGTTTTGTCTTCTATAGAATAATTTTGTGCTTGCAAATGTGCAAAGCGAGAGGCAGATGGTCTGTTACTGTCTTCCTTTTGTAAATATCCCTTACTCATTGCTAGTTTTAATGCACCACCTACACCTTGGCCAAGCGATGGTTCTGCATCTAAAATAGCAGCTTCTAGTGCTACAGGCTCCGATTTACTTTCATCTAAACGCAATATTGAGAAAAGTAAAGTAAGCGATTTGTATAAATTACATAATATCGCATAATTTGTATATAATTAAATAATAGAATACCTAAATGTACTGTATTCCATGCACCACGACCATCATCTTCTTCTTCGTCAGAAACGATCTCATCCTTGATACCATCAACCTCAAAGTCCTACGGAAATAAAAGGTGGAATATAAAATTTTGTAATATAAATATAAAGAAAGAGAGGTAGATGAATAAATACCATAAGTTCCTGTCCATTTTCTTCTCTATTACCGGCAAGCCCATACGTTGGAATGTCTCCTAAGGTTCTACAAAATTCTGCGGTAGCATTAAGAACTATGTTAGTCGATTGATTTTCGTCTAAAGCTGTTGATTCTTGCTTAACACTTTCTGTAACATTTTTCGCGTCCGACATTTGTAATTCTTTTAATCGATGCGCCTTCTTTAAAGCCATTTGCAGCTCTAACTCCTTGTCGTCGTCTTCAAATTTTATTCCCGTTAAATCTTCTTTGGGCCCTGTCAAATGATGAAAATATGTTGCAATAGTTGAAATTGCATTTAGAAAATTACATTTAGGGATCATGAAACCTTTAGATTTAAAGGTTTCACCTGAAGAAATCGAATATATAAAATGAAATGTACCTTCCAAATCGTCTACGTCTAAAGTACCATCATTTTCTTTTGCTTCCTCAGTTTTTTTGCTCCTTCTACTTCCCAAGTCTCTGAGATAATCATTCTCTTGAGGCATCAGGTCGTCTGCCTTTAATTTTCTTTTCGTTCTTATTTTTCGTATCTAAAAAAAAGAAAGGAATGAAATCAGTCGACAGATATAAAGCACATGATACTTTAAACTTGGCAATAGAAAAATTATCAAACAAATTCCCTTTTAATATTTAACCTTTTTCTTTGGCTTCTTAAACTTCTCCAACTCTTGCTCGTTGTAATATTCGCTAGCCAATTGTGGTTCTCTCGTTTGCAATGATTCCAATTTTTTATTTGCTAAACGGTGCTTAACAATTTCTGAACGGCGCTGCTTTATCTCTACCGGATTATAACTACCCAATACGAAATTATCCTTTTTCTCTCCTTCAATTTCTTCATCATATTTATCTAAAATGTTCTTCTTCGATAGACCAAACTCATCCAAATTATCATCCTCGTACGCATTATAAACAGACCTTTTAGTTTTGTTATGAACGTTTCGCTTATATCGTTCATCGTCCACCATATTGACATTAACAAGTACATCGCTTTTCTCGTTTAATATATCTTGATCTTTAAGGGTTAGAACCATTCCTTTGCCTTCCGCAATACACTCCTATAATTTATATTAGATAAAAGATAAATCAATGGAATTGCATAATTTTCTCTCTAAAGCGTATTAATGTTCATTTTTAATCTCTGACGAAAGTACATCCATTAACGCATTTAATATTATATTAACGCATTTAATATTATATTACTCACTATATCGTGTTCCACCGTCAAACCCTTCAAATCTTTTTCCGTATAAGCCAGATTACGAGAAAGGTGTATTTCCTCCTTAAGAAGATTACCAATTCCAAATTCTTCATCCAGTTGATCCAACATTTTGGCCTGAAATATAAACAAGATGAAATTTCATTAATACGGGTCGGGTTGGGTCGGGTCGGGTCGGTTCTATCCTATTATAAAGACCAATGATTCTGACCCTCTCTTCTGCCTTTTTCTTCTCCTCCTGTAAACGTCTGCTCTTATCGATCCAAGCTTTTGTATCGTCGTCAGAATCATCATCCCCTAATGACTTTATCTTTGCCAAATTAGCCTCTATCTGTCTTTTTTGCTTTTGGATGCCAATTCTTTCCTTCAATTTTTGAGTTTTCAACTGATCGTTGGCATTCGGCGCTGGTTTATGATAGAATTCACCCAAATCATCCTTGATTTTGTTGGGATCATCCTTTGACGTACTATCAACCTCTAAAGGCTTCAAACCTAACTTTGCTCTAAGCTTATTTGTTTCCTCAATCGATAATGAGGTTTGCGAAATGCCATCTTTTACAGGGGAAGGGCTATGTTGTTTGGAAATCTCAGGTGGAGGAGGCGTCGAAGGATGCGACGATCTTGAGATTTTTGGAGGCGGCGGTGCATTGACAATTTCAACTGCAAAAATGTCAAAAACACCTTTAACGACGTTATCGTCGATTATAAATCAATGTGCATATCAATGATAATTGGCTCTCCTTTTTATCTCCAAAAGTATTTTCGAATAGTTTTGTTTTAAAAAGAAGCGTTACTCAACTCAATGCGTTATATTTCGCATAGAATTATGTTAAAGCCATTATGCTAAATCGACAAACAACGAATAATGATAGAAGAGCTATACTAACCATCGCTATCGTAGTCCTTACGTTCTTTCCTTTTGTGTTTCTTGTGATGTCTATGCTTATCTATTTTCTCACGTTCTGGGGTATGACTTCGCGAACGGCTACGATGACGTTTTTTCTTAATATCACGACTTTTCTCGGCTTTATGCCGTTTGTTCGATCCCATTTTGATCTTAAATCAGATTATTATGAAATTAACGAAAACACCCGCTCCTAACCACTTTGGATACGCTTAGTGCGTCGTCATAATTCACTAGTAACAGCTGATAAGGCTCCAACTTTTAGAAAGTGATGTGACTAGTAAATAGTAACTAAGCGGGGCGGGATAGTAACTAGGAGGGAGCAGTAAAACTAGTAGTTGGTAACTCTGGATCCACTTTGGCGGTACATTCGAAGCCTTTATTTAATTAATAGCGATCCGATCGCTAACACGTCGTTAATACGATAAAAGAAAATCATCAGGGTTATGCATTCGAAGGGTTAATTTAAATGTTAACGAAATAAGACTCGTTCCTTTTTTTTTTTCTCTCCTTTCTTATTTCGTTAGATCAATTTACCTTTGTCTAACATAGATATACTACGTCGCTATTGCGCACACGCCTAAAATTACGCGCTGGAAGGCGCTCTGCCGTTTGTGGCGGCACTCTTTCGTTGTTGATAAACACCAACAACAATAAAGGACGGCTCGGCCGACAGCCGAGTATTTCGCGATCTTAATTCGGCGTTGTTAATCGTCGAGCAAATCTAAGAACGAGATTATTCAAAATAATACCGTCAACGAAAGTAAGACACAACGACGGCGTGTCAAGGAAACGACGACGTCGAGCGTGACGTTGAGGTTATGGATAATTTCGTCAAGATCGAAAAAATAGGGGAAGGGACGTATGGGGTGGTATATAAAGCGAAGGATAAGCTGACCGGCAAATTGGTGGCGCTCAAGAAGATTCGTTTAGAGACGTATGTTGATTATTATCTTTATTTTATAAACCACCTAAGCACTCCGTTTTGATTTAATTTCATATTAGGGATTTGTACAAATAATGGAATGCTCGTAACCCTTAATAATTCTTCTTTCTTTATCCGTCGAAAACGTAGTTTCGTCGATTGAAAGCTTCATTTCAGGTCATTCAACAAAACAGTAAATATAAACATTGTAATTTTATGATAAGTGTCTCAATGATAACACGAACAACGAGATTTATTAATTAATCCATTAGCAGCTAATAGTACACTGTGTTCCATTTAATGTTTATCTATGAACATTTTTTCGTGCTAACAGCAGAAAAGGATGCTTTTACGATTCTAATTGATTCTTTCTATGAGGAATATATAAACCTTTGAATCGACTGGTATTAAATTAAATATGAATAAAATGTTGCCGCTAATAGAAATATTACATGATTGATTCCTACTCCCATTTAAATTAAACTTTCTTGCAGTGTCATTTTTTTTTATTAGTACCTATGAATGTTATTTTTATGTTCGAACAAGAAACACCATGTTACGTAAAGTCGTATACATATGTTTATGTACATGTATATGCCATGTATATGCCATGTATATGCCATGTATATGCCATGTATATGCCATGTATATGCCATGTATATGCCATGTATATGCACATGTATATGCACATGTATATATGTTTATATATATATATATATATATATATATATATATATATATATACATATTATGTAAAGAAGCTAATGCAAGCTAAAGCACTTATATGATTTCTTAAGCAGTTTGCTTCAATGGTATACGAGCTATCCAGTCTTCAATAAGTTTCTTATGTTTGCCTCGCAAGACCCATCATTATCACGCATCTTACAAAGTTATCTTTCAGACTCTCGGCCAACTTCATATTGACCAGTCTTTTGCTTATCCGCATTGCTAACATACATGCTAACATGCACATTGGGGTCAGCTGAATCTGGAGGGGCCACGTTACACTATATTGTCGTAGCACCACATTATTCAGCTTGTTCCATTGTGTTATGCTCGCCTATAATTGCTATAACTGCCGTTATAACTGCAACTGCTAGAAAATGGGTTACTATACTATAGATTGATATTCGATATCCATCTGTGAACGTGTATTTTTTCATAGAGAAAATTCTACATAATAATATCAAGTTTTCAATATTTTTCATTTAATTATGGTATATGAATTTGAATCAGGGAAAGTGAAGGCGTACCATCGACTGCTATACGGGAGATATCGCTCTTGAGGGAACTTGCCCATCCAAATATTGTCCAGTTATTTGATGTTGTGGATGGTGATAAGCATTTATATCTTGTATTTGAGTTTCTCCAACAGGATCTTAAAAAACTATTAGACTCTGTAAAAAGTGGCCTGGATCAAGCTCTTGTGAAGGTAGGAGGCACATTTATCTATTATTTTTCTTTCGAAAAAAAAAAAGAAGAAGAAAAAAGGAAAAGGAAAGGAAAGGAAAAGAATAAATCAATTTAGTATGCGTGTATCTCTTTCTATATGCTCTTTGGAGCAAAATTAATTTTAAAAGCAGCGCAAAGAGTATAGAAATCACAGTACGTGGAACATAAAAGAGATATTTATTTTCAGAGCTATCTCTATCAGTTACTAAAGGCGATTTCTTTTTGTCATCTACATCGTATTTTACATAGAGACTTGAAACCACAAAATCTGTTAATTGATCGCGAAGGCTACATAAAATTAGCTGACTTCGGTCTAGCTAGAACTTTTTTGATTCCCGTAAGAACGTATACACACGAAGTAGTGACGCTCTGGTATCGTGCACCAGAGATTCTGTTAGGAACTAAGCTATATTCAAGTGCAGTGGACATATGGAGCCTTGGTTGCATTTTTGCAGAAATGGTTTGTAAGATATGGAAATAACAATATCTACACAATCTAGATTTTAATATGCTCTAATTATCATCTTATTTTGTTTTTGTTTTGTTTTGTTTCGTTTTATTCCTTTTTTGTTTTTTTTCTTTCCTTACAGGCTACCAGAAGAGCACTCTTCCCAGGTGATTCTGAGATAGATCAATTGTTTAGAATATTTCGTACACTTGGAACGCCAGATGAAACTATCTGGCCGGGTGTATCACAGCTTCGTGATTATAAATCAATGTTCCCTAGATGGGAGCCGTGTGATTTGGACGAAGTCGTACCTTCTTTAGATGCCGAAGCCAAAGACTTACTCATGGTAGGTATACGAGATGGTGATGATAGTTTGACGAGTTTCTCTCTCTCTCTCTCTCTCTCTCTCTCTCTCTCTCTCTCTCTCTCTCTCTACTATCTATTATACCACTAATATTTTATTCTTTCGACCACAGAAACTCTTGATATATGATCCCAATGAAAGGATAACAGCTAGAAAGGGTTTGAATCATCCGTATTTTTCCGGTGTAAAATTAGTCCCACCGCCCTTGCCAAAGAAAAAGTGACATAGATTTATGACACTTGGACTCACAGAATACCATATTTCCTATTTAGAATGTACAATATCGTTTAAAATAATGATTAAGGTACAATACTATAGAGATGTTTTATTAAGGAGACGGTGTAATTTTGATATACTACGAAGTGTTCATTTAAATATATATTTGATAAAGTTTAAATTAAATAAACAATTTATATTCTGCTATGCTGTATATTAATACGATTTTATTCGTTCTTTGTGTAAGATAATGGATGAAAGCAAACAGTAGATATCAATTTAAGGGGAATCAATAAATCTACACAATTGACTTTACTGGTTACGTGCTTCGAAAGCGACTACTCCGCTTTTCTTTTTACTATATCACGAGAAATTTATATAACGGTACTCATTGAGCCACGCGAGTAGATTGCATCGAGGATTCGATCAATTTCGGTAAAGTTAGTTCAGAGTGTGTCTCCGAGACAGACGTATTGACTTCTTGGTGAACGGGCGAAGCTGTCAATTTAGGAAGGCGCAGCTCGTTCGGTGAAGTCTTTCTCGGAGATGTTTTATCAGCGTTTTTCAATCTTAGATTATTTGGTGGATTACGAGGAGTGCTCGAAGGTTTCGACAATTTCAAAGGATCAGACTCCTTGATCGGGCTTCTTTTCTCATAGGTATTTTTCTTGCCCTTCTCCTCGTCTTTTTCTACATACTGTACCGAAGTACCGTTCGTGTTTTCCAAAAGGACATCCTTTTTATTTGACGTTGGTGACTTAGCCAGGCTGCTGCGTACAGCTTGAGCAGTAATCACGCGAGAGGGTGACCTTATGGTGCGCCCTCGAGTCGGCGTAGATGGCGGAGGCTGTGGTAGATCGTTACTCTTCGTTGTCGTCGCCGTTTGTGTTTTCTCTCCGTCGGTTTGTTCCGCAATGCATTGTACCTAAATACAAGATGCTTGTTTAAAATTACTTACTTATGCGCCAGATCAGAACTCGCAGTAGTTCATGTAGCTATGAACTATTTATACATTTATTAAAGTCAATAACTTACTACCATATTATGAGATATAAGAAATTAGCGAATGTGCAAACTGACCTTGATTTACAGTGGCGGTGAGTGCTCTGACGATACTTCGCAGCCCGACGTGTGTTATATACGTGAGAGTGAGGATACACGCTGTGCTGATATGTATATACTCATATTATATTCTTGCGATCTGGTTAAATTCTTTCTACGGTATGTTTTAAAGGCTATGTTTTAAAGGCTATTAAGAATATTAGTTCGAGAAAAGAGATAAAGAGGTATTGCTTAGAACGTTTTCCTTTAATCTCGGCCATAGTGATCTTTAGATTTATTAGAATTGTTGTTTCTCGTGTGTTTCGTGTGTGCTCGCACGCACGCCAATATATCCTTGTGCAATATTATTTTCGCAATGTTCTTTAAGAGACACGTCTTGGTTCTTTTGTCGTCTCGTATGCAACAGGGTCGATCACTAATGTGCTTGGGATCGAACGTGGAGGTGACAAATGATAAAGACAATTAATGTAAATTTAAAAACAAAAATATTATTGCGATATTCCAGCATGAACCTCCTGAAAAAGATATACCGGACAGTCATTGCACAATTGCGCTCGTACGAAGTGGTAACTTGTGTGAAAATTATGAGAACCTAAAATTAGATGTTCTTTTTTCTTTTTTTGCATTATCTGCTTTTTCTTTTTTTTTCTGTTTTTTTTTCTTTTTTTTTTTTTTTTCTTTTTTTTTCATTTTATTCTTTTCTTCCTTATTATTGCGAAATATTCGGATGTTAATCGAATCGAGGTACACAGTAGTCAGTATGGAGGCAATATAATATAATGTGTAATATTACATACATGTATTTTCTAGCGACGTGTAAATTGCATGAAACGTCCTAAAAGTGAAGACGACAAACAAGATGCTTTCGTTCATCTCCTTTTCTTTTCCTTTCCGTTCCTTCTCCATAATAGCATACTCTGACGATTAATCTTAATTATCGAGATAATTGTATTATTTTCTAGCGATAGATTTATTGTTATATTGGTGAGTGCAACGAATAGCAATATAGTTTACGTATCTACAGTAACGATTACAAATATCTCGTACTCTCTATATCATTTAGATACAATCTGAAACGAGTTCGATGTACTAAACGATCGAGAATTAATCCTCCTCGTTTACAATATTATACCTCGTACACGTACTACACGGCTATGAAGCCGCGTTTTTCTTCACCTCAGAACTCACTCAAATCAGACACTTTTCACTTTATCGAAATCGATGAAAGCGGTCTGTCCGATACGTGCGAATATTATAGTCTTGTTTCTCAATGATTCGACCAATTCGGAATAAAATCGACGATCGATGGGGAACGTGGGGATTCTACGGAGAATAATAATATCATAAATCGCTCAATCTAATCCCTAATGATCTCTCTTCTACTGCTACCTTTATTTTTTTTTTTTTTTTTTTTTTTTAGCGAGCTACCAAATAAACTTCGTTATATCAATGATCAAACGAAACGTTTACCTTACACACTCACGATCATAATGAAAAATTTTTCCGCTATGCCGTACCATAGAAAATTAGAAAAAAGAAAGAAGAAAGATATATGTGCCTATAAGTATTTTAAATTTGGAAGAATTATACGATGTCAATCAATCGCCCAGTTGCAATCCTTGATTCGGATCCTTCCGTTTAAAAATACGATACGACGGTCTACGTTAATTATGACATTAACATTTTCGTATACAATTTTTATGCTTCGCACATCGACCATAATTCGTATTTTTTTCTTTTCCTTTACAAGAGAGCCATTGGAGATGTTGGATTAAAGAAGGAAACAAACAAGGAAAAAATGGTTCTTTTTCTCGTTATAATGGCTCCCTTGTTAGTGATAGAAGATATGACGCATACTCGAACTCTCGATACGAAAATGCGATACGACGCGATGGAGGGAACCAAGTGACCGATGACGAGAAAGATGTTAATTAAGCACGTTACGTCATAAACATGGCATACGTACGGAATGCGGACGTTTTTGTATCTCCGTCTATCTTTCTCTCTTTCTCTATTCTCTTTATTCTAAGTATATGAACGATCATAGAACGCTGACCGTGCAGACTTCATTGCCAATTTACATGTTGCGAAGGATGCCCTGATTTCTTTCATTCAATGGCACAGTCTTGAGTTTATGCGAAAAAAAGGAAAGATGTAAATTCATCTTGGAAGGGTACTAATTTGAAACGCGACAAGTTTCCTTTTTGATATTCCTTTCGATTGGTCTTGTCTGATAATCGATAGACGCTCATTTAAAAACTTATTTGTCCAATAAGACAACAATTCTCAATGATTAAAAACAAGTTTGATCGAATTTTCTCTATTTCCAAGTTCATCTTAGAGGCGCCAAATCATTGAGTTTAACGATCGATAAATCAATATTCGTTGGCGAATATTTTCACTGTTTCAGGATACTCTTTTTTGGAGATATAAATCGATAGAGTTTCTGGTGAACTATGTATAATGACGTCGCAATAATAAAAATTAAGAAATTAGTCGAATTAAGAAATAAGTCATTTATCGTGCTTATGTAATATTTCATACAATACAGAAATATTATATATGTACGTTTAAATACACCCAAGTGTTTATCATCATATACGGTGTGTGTATGCGCGTGCGCCACAGAGAAAGAGAGAGAGAGAGAGAGCGGCGGGGGGGGGGGGGGGAGGGGTCGAAAGATGCAGACAGAAAATGCTGGACTAATCTCAATCGTTGCCGTGAAACATTTGAGTCAGAAAAATGTCGCTTTCAACGAAAAATTCCTATCAAAACGAGGCGATTGTTCGTTTATCGCAAAATCGACAATGACGAGTCCGTACAGAAAAAGATATTCACGCGAGCATCGTACGAATGATGATTCCGCTGTGATAATTAAGAATGGTGCCCTAAACGCTTAGTATCGTCTCTTGAAAGAGTCCCTTGTAGTAGGGATGTATTTTTGGGATTCTCGTAGATGAAGGAAAAGGTAAACGTGAGTTATACGTAAAGTGTGACGAAGTTTAAGAGCAGAGTTATCGGTCGAGTTTTCGTGAGAGCTAGCATTCCTGGTTGAGGTTCTCGTCCGAAGTTGGCAGGCCGTTCTTGCCGTCGGTGATCGCGCCGGAGGGTATGGGGCTCTGCGGGCACAAGACACGTATCAGAATTAGAGAAGGAACCGAGCCCCCCTCGATAAGCCATTCCTCAAAACGCATATCTCAAGGAGCTAATTCTTTCCATCGTCCGCGATCCCGACACATTTAGAAATTGGAGAGTTACATACGTCGTATGGCATATACGAGCCAACAAAATTCTATAAAAGCTTTTATAATATATCGTTCTTCTTCGACGTGTTTTTTGTTTTCTTTCTTTTTTTTTCTTTTTTCTTTTCTTTTCTTTTTCTTTTTTTTTTTCTTTTTTTTTTTTTTTTTTTTTTGTTTTGTCGCGTTAGTAGGGCCGCCGATATTGAGAGTGCTGGAAAATAATTACAAGATACATGCAGCGCGACTGTGAGAAGCGAGTTCAGCAGTTGACGTGACTAGTGCGGACTCTGATAAAACAAAGAAAAAGCACCGGTTGTCTCGAACTAATGCCACAGAATTATCGATCGACAGTCAAGGTGCGAATCTCGAAAATGGATCTTCAATCGAATTGGCAATTGAGATTATTCATACGAAAAAGACAAAACATACCTGCGAACCGCTACCGCAGAGACTTTCGACGTTCGAGCCTGTCTGTCTGAGATAATCTTTGTCGTTGAAGATCTTCTTGTCTCCGCCACCGGGCTTATGCTTGACATTATCCAGAGAGCCTACCTTGCTCTCGGCTTTGATATCGACCTTTTGCGTTTGTATCTGCAATTATAATTCTCCTCTGTCGTTAATCATTTTACATTATTGTTTCATTTCGATCGAACAAAAGTGCAATCGAAGAAAGTTCAAGCATATGAAAAGGAAGCGTTTTGAGCTGAGGTATGTTATTTAATCGTTCACGCAATCGACACAATAAGCTCTACGGCATTATCTATGGCGTAAAGAATAGAAAAAAAGTCTATATATGCTATAATGAAGATAACCGTTGAAGAAAAAAAGAAAAAGAAAAAAAAAAAAAGAAACTACCGTCAATATGGCGTAACATGTAGCAATTTGTATAATTCTGAAAAAGGATTTGGAATACTCTGGGACATGCTTCGTCATGCTAGAGCTCCTCCGATCAAACAATAATTTTACTTACTTTGCTGGTTAATATACCTATATCCAGCGTAAGAATATTTATTATGATCAGAAATAATCGAACGGCAGGCACGACATCCAAGTTTATTAATTGTGAGAGCGCATACGTTTTCCCGTAGGTAGAATTACTAATAAAGTCGATTCGATGATCTAGCGTGACAATGATAAAATAGGATGAAAGCTCATCGGTTTCCGGAAAAATATTACCTCCACACAATTTGAATTTGAAGTTGAATAACGATAAGAGAATCCGACATACGGGGTGCTTGTACCGGATGACGAGAAAGAACCCAAATATAGGAATAGATGCGGAAGAGACTTTATAGAGATACGTAGCTGACCGTTATATACTTACGTCGTTATTCGTAACGTCCTGCGGTGTCTTTGGTGGCGTCGCCGATGACTGAACACCAAGAAATAACAATGACTTGTTAATTAATGACAAATGGACGAACGCGCATGCATACGAAAGAGAAAATGTGGCTAGTCGACGAACGACGAGGATTCATGAGCCGCTTCAAACACAATTCTTCTATTTGCTCTTTTCTTTTTTTATTATTTTTCTCTAATTGCATAATATCGCGAATCACAATGATATCGCGAAACTAAGTCCTTATTGTCGCATATAAATACATTACATTCCGCATGCAACGTTTCATTCACGAATAAGTAAGTACATATTTTATTGAAATCGCTCTTTTCTTTCTGGTCGAACGAACGAACGAACGAAGCGAGCATTCTGTTAATCACAGTAGCAAATATGAATGTGAATAAATGGATCATCAAGCCTCGGCGCTTGATTTTCTGTTTCTTTATCTTAGTTGCTTGTTTTTTTTTCTTATTATCTCAGATTATCCTCTTTCAACACAAGTTTCAACACCTAACTCTATCCTACGTTATACATATATTTAGGTATGTATTATTTATATATTTGATTCGATTGATTATACTTTACTCGCTTCTTCCTTGATCTATGGATCTGTGTTATTGCGAAAGGAATGCAAACATTAGAAACACTAACGGCACGTTTCTAGATTATAATTTTAATAATGAGTAAATGCATTAGAGAGAGAGAGAGAGAGAGAGAGAGAGAGAGAGAGAGAGAGAGAGAGAGAGAACGAGAACACGGACATGCTGAGGTCAATGTCAAAAATTGATAAAATCTCGATCGTCGAGGATACAAGGCAATGTTTGTATAGATATTTTATAAAGGAATCTTTTACCTTGACACTTCCACCACCAGGAACGTGCTTGGCGTTCTCTTTCGAGCCAACTTTTGGCTTTGCTTTGTCTTTAAAATCCAATTTCACTGTCTCAATCTTTTTATCACCGCCACCGGGCTTGTACGTTGCATTTTCCAAAGAACCCACTTTAGGTTTCGCGTTCCATTGAAGCTTTATTTGAGATATCTGAAATGAAAAATAGTATTGTACGAATTGGCGGAGCCAATATTGTACCTACCAAGAGAAATTTATATTGACATTACATTTACGAATCGAGAATAAAGATAAATCTCGACGATATACCATGGACGTGTCAATAAAGTCGTTATGTGTAATTCGTTTTAACTCACAATCTCAGAAAGTAAAAACTATTACAAAGTCAAATTCTTTTTGTCAATTAATGAATTTTGAAACGGAGCCTACCTTTTTGTCACCACCACTTGGCGTGTACTTATCGTTCTTCGCGGCAATCTTAGGTTGTGCCTTGCTAAAGTCTAATTTCCTGTTCTCTATTTTAACTTTTCCACCACCTGGTTTGTAACTCGCATTCTCTAGTGAACCGATTTTCGATCGTACCGTCTTCAAATTCGGTGACGGTGCAGCACCAACTTGGATTTTGTTCATTGGCACTTCTGCATCGTTAGAAAAATTCAATGACGATTATTGTATCATCGAAGATCTGTCGTCTAGGAGCATAAAGGAAAGAAACAACGGACTCGACATACTCTTTTTCTCTTGACTTCCTGTCGACGACGGTGTCTCTGGAGTTCTTGGCAATGACTTGGCAGACTTGCTAGGTGATTTCGTCGGCGATCCAGCTGTTGATCTCTTGTCGCTCTCTTTGGTCTTTGATGGTGATTTCTTTGTTGGTGAATCCGCTACTCCATTTGTAGTTGGTGGCTATAATGGAGACACATGATCTTAATTTATATTGCCTCTCATATCTGGGTAGTTAAATACTCGTATACTTACAACGTTATGTTGGCTTAAATCGTTACTGTCACTTTCAGTCTCTGTAAAAATAAAAAGATACGATATGATATGATACAATATACACACGCACACGCGCACGCACATGTTATATGCCAGACTATTGTATGATTGAAGTCTAATTTAAAAAGAGAACACCGAAGCAAAATCTCGTTGACACAGGTCATAATAAAATCAAAACATTTGATAAAATTAATAGATTCGTGTAGAAGCGAAATAAGAGAGAAAAATAAGCGTATCTATTAAAAACTTCACTGCAGGCTCATCAATAAATTGCAAAACATTCTGAACTTCTTTAATGGTAATTGGTGCAAGTACATTATTTTGTCGAAACCTTTATTTTCTTTCTCGTTCTGCAATTTCACGGGCGTTTCTACACGTCGTGGCTTTCCAGTAGGCGTTGTCGGTTTCGAGGTCTCTCGCGAGGAAGCCTCACTCTTTTCCACCACGTTTTCGTCCTTCTTAATGATCGAATCCTCAGCAAATGTGGTTTTTTTCTTTTCGCCCTCGATAGGTTTCATACTGATCGCCGATTTTGGTGATTTCGGTGAACCAGGAGAGGACAGAGATCTTCTCTGTCCATTATCGAAACCTTTTACACCTTCCTGGGGTGACCTCGGTGGTGTGGGTAAGGATTCTGGTACGGGCAACTTGTCATGGGCAAAGGAATGGGATGTCGACGATATTGCGGTCGGCTGTTTCTCTAAAGTAGAATCTTTCGAAAGAGCTGACGTAGGTCTACTTGATCTCTCTGGACTTATACTTTCTGTCTTATTTTCTGTCTGTGCGTCTACGACCGTCGGCGTAGATGCTCTAGAGATATCGGAGGATTTCGACGGAGTCTTCGAGTCTTGCTCCAGGCTTTGCATCGTTAAATTATTCGATGGACTCGCAGTTAATTTTCTTTTATCTTCCATTACGACATCGGGCGAGGGCGAGGGCGAGGGCGAGGGCGAGGGCGAGGGAGAGGGCGAGGGCGTGGGAGAGAGAGAGGGAGGAATAGAGATAGGCTGGGACTTCCCTCCTGGAGTTTTCGGTCCTTGTTCGATAGATCGAATGGATGGATCGTTTATAGGCTGTCGAAGTTTGTCGTCTCTAATGACGTCCGACGGTGATGGAGACTTTGACGATATTTTCGATGCTTCTTCAGGATCAGCTGGGGTTAGAATTTTCGATGGACTTTGTATCGGAGGCGTTTGCCGCTTCTTCTCTTTTATAATATCCGGCGATGGTGACTTTGAGGATGTTCTAGGTATTCCATCTAAATTCTGTGAAATTGAATCGTTTGACGGGCATATTGCCTTTTCTTCACATTTGCCTTCTTCAGTTTTGTCGTTGCTCATGGTAGAATCATTCTTATCATTCTGACTGACCGAAGAATGTACGGCGTTCAATGAGGGACTAGTGGGATGACACTTTTCGGAATCATCTTTCGTAAATACTTGATTGACTTCATCCTTCTCAATTTTCTTTCCCTTCGATTCGTCTTCCATTTTATCATGCTTATTTTCATTAGCTTTTACTTCCTCAATCAACGAATGTTCATTTTTCGTCTCCTCAATTTTGCATTCTATTTTTCTTGATGCAGAAGACTCATTGGAAGATTCATTCTCATACTTTCCTTTCTCTTTAATGTCAACAATTTTCTCATTTTTAGCGAAAACAGATTTATCGTCGATAGAATCATTTTTAATCGTCGTTTTATCCTCCAACTTGACCAACGGAGTTTCTTTTTCCGACTGCTCGCTGTCGTTTTTAGGTACGATCATTTGTTCGAAAGATTTTCTTTCCGACTTGGCCTCGATCGTAGCTGTTCCTGGCCGAGTTACCGACTTACCGGTATCCTCACTTCTCCCTTGCATTTCCGACGCTATGGATAAACCAGATGGGAGTTCCTTGTTACGATCAACGTTGCCATTTCTCTGTGGCGATTTCTCTTTATTCGAAGCTAAAGCAAGGTCAACCGACCTTGGTGACTTCTCGCTATCAGAAATCGCATTGCCATTTTGCCTCGGAGTCTTTTCATTATCCATCACAACGTCGTCATCGTCGTCATCGTTCTCGCCGCCACTGCGAATGTCAGCCTTCCTCTTCTGAACCGAATTCTCACGGACAAGTTCGGTCTTTTCCTCGTCCAAGTCCGGCATTTTGTCAATAATTATGCGAGGACGTAGAGATTGCTTGTTCTCTTTATTGGGAAATTGACTTGTTTTTCCTGTATTTAAGGAAAACGTATCATTCCTTGGTCTTTGGGGCAACGAGTTTCGTACTGGTCCCGGTGAATTCGAGCTTTTACCTTGAAGTTGACTTGTAGATGCTGGCGCAGACAAATCCAAAATTCTTTGCTCCGTTCTCCGCTCAATGACGTTACTTTTATTCGTTTGTTGTATCTGATAATTTGGTCTGGGTCCTATCGGTTGCGATCCTCCGCTCGATGAATTTGACGCAAACCTGACGACAGCTGATCCGAATCTTAGATTTTGAGAAATTTCTATTGGACTTTGCCTGGTTTGAATTTGTTTGGGAGAATGGACTGGCGGATTCACTGGATTTCCAGGAGGATAGACTTGGTTTCCAGGTGGAGGCCTCGGTGAAAGCCCGTGCGGTCGAAGTTGCACAACTTGGCTTGTTCTAGATAGGCCTATGGACGAGTGACTTTCTAAACCGTGAATAGGTTGTTGTCCTGCAGGACGATTAGCTCCTATAGGGCCATTGTATGGCGGCTGTCTTGAAAATCCAGTGGATGTAACTTGGGATCTCGCTTGTAAGCCTGGCGATAGAGTTGCACTCTGCTTTACCTACGGAATAATGTTTCACCTCGGATTTATTCGAAACTGAAACATCCCTATAGCAATATAGAAACGCAAACGTCTGCTTTCTTGTATTCTTGTAATTCGCGCAACTTCAAGCTCTTTAATCGATGTGCCAGCTGGGGATTATTTTATTCATGATTAGTGACGAAAAAAGTAATATACCTGATTATACGATTTTGCAGACGAAAAACAATTGAGCACTAGGTTGCTAATTGTTGAGGATCTTAAAAGGCTTTCGAATACGGGGGGTTGCGTGCGCAACCATATTCCGCATCACGTACGTCATGCGCGTATCCTTATATGGGGAAAGGGTAAACGGACCCCATATGTATTCACTCGAATGTGCACGCTGCTCCTTAATCCGTAAGTTTGCCCTCGCTTCGTTCCTATATTGTAAAAGTCTGACGAATCTGCTCCCCCAGGCCCTGTCATTTTAGCATAACAATTGTCGAGGCAGTTGCGCTCTCCTACATATAAGTACCCTACGTCGGAACACTGTTTCTCTTGTTGTTTTGTCTTTTTTCTTTCTCCCCAGTCCATTACTAATATAAAAACTACTAATAAGAATACTTCTATTTTGCGGCGCACTCGCGTTTTTGAAACGGTTATACAAATATATGGGAATTTTTAATTGATATATCACGTAAGTGATAATAATTATTTCAAGACTAATTTTCATTAGTCGACACATTGATTTATTAGACACATTAGTCAAGAGTAGTAAATCTAATGAATTATATATTTAAAATCCTTCATACATGTGTACAAACATACGTTGTTTCTTGGTCGCTCGTAAAAGGATCTTATCTATACCATTAGCAACTATAGGTGGCCTATCTATCAATTATTTCGAAACGATATTTTACACGGCATCACTCGTTCAAGATTAGTAATTGCTCGGGAGAGTTGAGAAAATCGTATTGGCGGTCGTGCAAAGCGGAGAAATTGGGATGCGCTCTATTGGCCCTGAGCTCATCGATCTTTCGATAATACGAGACGACGGTGACGTCTCGAGGAATATTTCCACGGTACCTGCCACCGCTTAACTTTGCTTTCGTTATGGGATTGAACCACGAATGACCGTAGTCGAGATACACTATCGATATCCATCACGCTTCGTCGAGACCTTTTAGGTTGGCGTGACTCAAGAAAGCCCTTTTCTTCGATGTACACCTCGATTACTCTCCCTCTTTCTCTCTCGCTCGCTCTCATTCGTTTCATCTTGTTAAGAAGAATATTGGCAGGAATATTGTCTGACAAATGAACACGGTCTCCATGCCAGCCGCTGTTACGTTCAAACAAACTTTCTCTCGCGATAGGAAATCCCTAATGGTGAATTTCGATGTGTAAGGAGACCTTGGCTATAATTTTAAATATTATTCAATAAAGTTGACATAGGCATTTAACATTACCAGTACCGGTGGATAATAGAACAAAAGGAAATACAATTAATGTTAGGTTATAAAGTAGATAAAATATGACTACAATCAAGTTCTCTCATCTATGTAATTTAATGATTCTCATAATTATAATATTGCCTTCTTGCCTTTTTATTTTATTGCTTCTGCTTACCGTGCTCGCATCGCGAACCAAAGCCGCATTGTTAGTCGTCTCTTGCGAATCCATTGAGATTTGTTCCTACACCTGTTGTGTGCGATAGACTTTAGATCGATTTGAGCATCTTCTTGAGTAGCTTCTGATAATATGGTCCTCCATAGAACCTGTTGCGTATCAACAACAGTCACTCGATCGGACTGAGAATAGAGTCAATGTGCAGGATATACCAATGACGTTGCTACATCATTTTCGTAGATAGAATCATATTCTAAGTGTGGTGCAGAGCAGAGGACCTGCCCCTATCCTGTGATATCGATAGTCTAACTTTTACCAGCGTGTATCAATGTTATACATATATAAGAACTTTTCAGCTCCCTACTGAGGATTCTTCCAAGAATATAAAGAGATAAAGTTCTATCAATTATTTTTTCTTAAATGATATAATTTCCTTGATATCAAATTTATATGATGATATAGATTTTGTCAAAAAAAAAAAAAAAAAAGAAAAAAAAAAAAAAAAATAAAAAAAAATAAAAAAAAAAAGAAAAAAAAACTGTCCAAAGCTAACAACTTGGAAGATTCCTGTTCTTTCGTGTATCGACGTATCAGACGTAGTACGTTTCGTGCATAAAAGCTAGTTAAATCTCGCAAGTACGGTGAATAATTCACGGTAGTCAGGTACACGGTATACCTTGACAGCTATAGGCGCCTACTTTGATATGTACCTACACAATGCGTGCAACGACGTTAACCGTCAATTATAAATTATCACGCGCATTCTACGTACGTGTCTCCTCTCGGTATTACGTGCTCTTACGACAATACTCTTGTTGTGACGGTGATATCAATTAAATACAATTTTTACATGCTTCACCTATTCTGTGACATCTTTTTTCTGTTATTAGAAGTGACGTCACTACTGTAAAATAACGTATGTATACCAATGACAGTAAATTTATCCAACAACGTAGAGATCAGACGTTCAGAAATATCGTTTTTAACGAATATTTAGGAATTGCGTGATGTCAAATGCCAATTTGTTCATCGTCAATCATTGACCTAGATGATAAGTATTTACCGTTGGAAAATGCAGCCAGTACTTAAAACCATTGTGGATTTTAAAGAAGATTGCCCGATCGATAGAATAAATTTCAATAGATCGGACATTGACGGAATTCTCCCGGAACTCTCATGAAATTTTATGAATAATTGGATGCGAGTTTTGGAACGCACTTCAAAAGGTTTTACGAAAATTTACTAGGGGCATCGTAACTCCGAGGGGTCGTTTTGTGGGCGCTTGCACCTTGCATGGTAAATATCGCTTGTGGCCGGTTAAACTGCCGCGCGTTCTTAACGAGTTACAAGAAACGGAAAGCGCAGACGGCTAAGGGAGTAAAATGTAAACGGAGGAAGACACGCAAACCGTCATAACCAGCTTGGCACAATGAGAGATTACGTTATAGTCTTACTACCGGCGATTGACCTTGGCAAATACAAACATATAGACATCTCCGAATCCAAGTTCGTGTTTTTGATTAATATAACACTGGGCACAGTTTCTATAATTATTATATGTATGTACATACATACATATCTATACATTATTCGCATATAGAACAACATTCGGCCATAGGGACAGATTTGCGTGAAATAAATTAGTGTATAAAAAGTGTGACAAGCTCGCGGACTGAAAGTAATTACTTAAATGAACCTACGGGGTACAAAGTACTAGTCGTTTTAAACGACTATTTACCACGGATCTTAATAGTCCCGCAATCGAAACTTTTTCATTCTAGATAAAGGGTAGCGCTTTGTAATGTAAAAAAGAAATGCGTTGCTTTAATGTAGCTCGTTCGATCGCGATAAAGCGTTAACCTTCAGACGTTCTTGTATTTTTATCGAGCCGATCCTTCGGACCCCAATCTTACTTTCCTTTTCTTCTTTTCTTTCCTTTTCTTTGTTTTTTCTCTTTTTTTTCTGGTTTTTTTTTCCTTCGTTTCATTGGAACACTTGAACGAATAAAAATTGAAAAAAGTTTGAATAAGTCGCGTCGACGCACCTTCTCTTGATCCTTATCGTTTTGACATTGCGTTTGCGCACGCTTGGACGACTTCTGGAAGTATGGAATCTACGAGGTGTGAGCTTCGTTCGAGCTCCGTGTCAGGACTAACATTATGGTGACTCATCGTCTAATGCGGTTCGCGCGAAACCAGGAATTTTATCAGGAGACATGAATCGCGATCGTCAGAATCTCTCGCGCGAGTAAATAAATTATGGAATATTATTATAACCGCATATTATTTCTCATTTATTATCTCCACAATAAAACTTGTCTCGGGATATTTGACAAAAGAAATTGGACAAAAGAAATTTTTTCTTGGATCTCTTCTGCCTGCTGATATTATTTTAAAGTCTAAAAATTTACCATATATTCTCATACGACGCGTTTACTTTCAAAGGAATATATCTCTTCATGTCATAAGACGTGCTAGCCTTCGGCACGTCCTAAACTTCCGCTCTTATTTCCGTCGGAAAAGCAGAAACGGGCCGTGCACGCTCCGTCGGCATTGTACGAGTACAGTGGGCAACTGCCCATTCCTGGAGTTATTGATCCGACCTCGATGAGAGTGTATTCAATTCCGTCGTTTATATGCATACATTGATATATACTACGGCTCATGTTCTCGTATCTAATATGGGAAATTAACGCGTTCACGCTTTGCGAAGCTTCCGGGAAAAGAAAGAAAAGGACAACAAAGAAAGAACGACAACCGAAAGCTTTTGCCAATAATGGATTAGATCCGATCGAAATTAATCTAGATAGATTGAGGACTACCCAGAAGATCCTTTATTAAAGAGATTGTTTTATAAGGGGAAAAAAAAAAAAAAAACAAAAAAAGAAACAAGGAAACGATTGTGAAAGAAACGACGAGTAAAGTTTTTATCGATTTTGTTTGCACGTTATGGAAACAAGCCGATTTACCGGCTAGTTAAGTTGGGATCGAGAGGCAGTATTATTTCTCAGCTTCTTAGATTTCTGCGTATTCGTATCCAACGGACGATAAAGCGAAAAGGAATTTATAAGAGAAATGGCAAAAAATCCGATTGGATTACCGTCGAAGATAATCGACTACGGGACTTTCTACGGGATTAATTTCACTAGAGGAGAGGAGTCTTGCACTTTTGTGGTTTATTTCGAACGAACTGAATCGATAACGTTTGTGACGACACGTTGAGTTACGATATATAGGTGTCGATATATAGGTTAGAGAATTTACGATAGCGTGGATTAGCGATTTTTTGCGCTCGCTCCTTCCAACCTATTTTATCTTCCTCTCTTTCTTTCTCTCTCTCTCTCTCTCTCTCTCTCTCTCTCTCTCTCTCTCTCTCGATAATTGTTTCTATTTTCAGAATCATTAGAAATACGAACGACTAGAGGGATCATTGTTAACGTCCATAAGAAATCGTCGAAACAGGAGGAATTATATCGAACGAAAGTGGTTGGCTCGTCGCTGACTCGTATATCGTCGAATGCGGGCAACTAATAACGCGACACAATCGATACTTCAAATGTAAAAGGAAAGAAAAATGAAGGAAGATAAAAGGGCTATATGTTGTGACACGTAGAGTCACAATGGTCATGCATTGCGAGTATGTATTATTCTGTCATTACTTGAGGAACCAAAAGAAATCCAAGAAGAATAATTTTCATATTGACGAAGAGAGTCCAGGTCTGATGAATTCTCTCTCAGAATTCATAACTTGTATCGAGCGAGCAAAATGTACGAGCAGATCGAGGGTAACGACAGATAAGGGCAAAGCACCCGTGTGCGGGCAGGCAATGTCGTTTTATCGAGGAGCAACATCTTCGAGTCACCTGCGGCGACGCTCTGCAATGGCGATGTCCTATTGTCACGTGGCTATGTTTATCCGATACCGCATCGTTGGTTTATTTCCTCTAGGTTAATCCATTAGTTCGATTTTAGAGCCTGCGCCTCTTGAAATGACACGTAAATAACGTGAAATCTTGAAATGTAAAGAGACTGAAATGTATTGTTTACGTTGTCTCCTAGGAGCGAATAGGAAGAAAAAATAAATTTCTATAACTCTAACGATCTCGAGAGTATCGAGATAGTAATCACGAGGGCGCACGAACTAACTGTATTAACACATCGCGCGCCATCCATCTTTATTTATTAACTATCGGTAAAATCTTTTTTCTTCCTTTTTCTTTCTTCAAAGCGTCATACCCTCGGCACACCGTCTCCGGTCATGGACGTCCTCACTGACGTCCGCTGTTTCCTCCTCTATCCTACTTTCTTCGCTCTGACTTATTCTTTTATCATCTACTCGTCTGATATCTAGTGTCATCGATGGAAATGGCTCGTACAATAGGTCTTACCTTTCGCGAACTTTCGCCTTCGACTTGTTATATTAATCGTTGGAATAGTAAACATTTTGCGACGAATGAAAATGAATACGATCAAAGAAATAGGTCAGATTGGGCATGTTATGTAGGATAGTATCTAATGCCAGCTTACTTCAAGAATTTCAACGAGTGACCGGAGGTGGAGTCGATGACGAATTAATAATGATTTTCATTTTAATTGGAATCGAATCGATCGCTTTCTGATCAAACGATCTAACTATCTACAATAATTAACGGCTGCTACTGCGCGTGATGAGTGCCGAAGCGCTAAATACCTATGTGCAAGTCGAATTCGTGCGAGTGCTCGTTCGAGTAATAATGCACCAACGATTGCCGACGAGGAAGGAGGAGAAGAAGAATTAATTTGACTATTGGTCTAGTTGGTTGGTTAGAAAACACGACCAGGGATTTTATTTTAGGGATGCCTGGAGAGGAGATGCCTACGTAGCAAGTAGTAAGGAGTTGCATAAGTGGCGTTATATCTTATTCAGCCATGACAGGTACTAAATCGAGCAGCAATTTTACAATGACTAAAGATCTAACGGTCCGCGAACGATCATCTCGTTAACGATCACGATATTTTCTTCGGGACGACATTTTTGCTCGGTCGCGAACAACGATACGTATATATTTCGGGATTTGTTCGATTCTCGATTCGACAAAAGATTCGATATTCACTTTCACGACGTTAAATAAGACTCAATCTTTCTGACTATCTACGACGTACGCTTAAGTAGGGCTCTGACCTACGACCTCATTTCACTCCGGTGCACGCTACCGTACAAAGTATGATTTTAAGGGCACGAACAAATTTTCTATGTTCAGACGAGCAGAAAGAATACGTAATAACGCAGGACAATAAAATACAGAGAATTTCTCTTGGAATCGCTGCTGTTGGAAAAGAAATTTTCAAAAATATCGTAATGTGTTAGAACGATCGTACTCATTGACACGTCACGAGTATCCACCCGGTAGATGCTCTATTCCTCTTCCATTTTCACATCGATCTCGTTTTCACGAACCGGAAAAAGGACGATTACTCGAAAAGAATCGTGAGCACCGATAAAAGCGTTGTACAAGCTTACCTGGAAAACTCAGGATGATATCTAGGTCTCTCTTTCTTTTGTAATAAACGCAATAGCTTCTAGAATGCTGTCAATCGAGTGCCGTCTCGTGGGTTACTAGAACTGTATGAGATCTGGAAGTCCTTCTTCGGCAAGAGGTACGTCGTCGTTCTATCCGTCGGTCCGTCCGACGTTCATTCCCTACGAACGTGCGCCCCGTCGGTTTGTCCTGCCGTGCCTCTGCTCCTGCGCTCGACACTCCCAGTCAGACACAACTAGACCCAGAGCTCACTCGATATACAACCAACGTGCGCGCGCGGTCGCTCGCTCGCTCGCGAGAGCTAGACGAGAGAGAAAGAGGGAGGGAAGGAGGGAGGGAGGGAGAGAGAGAGAGAGAGAGAGAGAGAGAGAGAGAGAAAGAGAGACCACGTCGAAGCTTAGCGAGAGAAACTACTATATTATAAATTATTTACGTCTCGTCCTAACCGAGTTTCTACGTTGCACGCAATGTCATAAAAGGAAAAAAGAAAAAAATTTGCTTTTTATTTCAGAATTTCGATTCTTTCGATGAGGATGCTATTCGTCGAGACTTGTCGTTCTTTCAAGTTCGACTTCAATGTCGTCTTAAAGCTTCTTGCTCGACGAACTGAGAGTTCAGAGAGATTTAAAGCGACTTGAAAACAAGTCCACGAACGAATGCAATTTCTCATCGACGAAAAGAGGCATCTCTTTTTTAACGGAGGGAAATAGAGAGAGAGAGAGAGAGAGAGGGGGAGAGAGAGAGAGAGAGAGAGCGCGAGCGAGAGACAGAGAGACAGAGGGAGGGAGAGAGAGAAGAATACTACCCTCTAAATGGGCGGTGGTGTCGGACTATCGATACCTATATCCGCTTCTGACCCGGTTTTCCTTCGAGCTCCTGCTCAGCGTCTAGCTCTATCGAGAAGGTGACAGCGTGAACGCAACTAACACGCAGGGAGGACCAATTCGACGATCGATCCGACCACCTGATTTTCTCAGTATGAAAAGTGGAACATCCTATATTGGTTGCATCAGTTATAATCTTTCCTGCTATCAAAGGCAAAAAATGGTTTCTTGAGTTTGTTGAGAGTTTTAGATACCTCAAAAGAGCAACACGTGAATAGTAGAATCTGAACGTTAACAGGCGCTAGTACTTTACCCTGGCTGTCGTTGGTAAAAAGAAAAAAAGGAAAAAAGAAAGTGGATGACCTCGTTAAATAACACGAACACGTACACATACGTTGCAAATCGTTTTCTCGTGCATGCGTTTGAACGCGATGTGCCGAATGAAGAAGGCTACGACGAACGTACCCTTCTCCCTGCTTTCATCCACCTCTTTTCGAAGTAACCGCTTTAATTTCCCCGTTATTCGACGTTGTATCGTTGTATCTTCGAAACTCTTCTCTTCGTACTGGATCAGAAAGCCCGGTTACGGCTTTTTACGAACAACATACATACAACGAATACGCCAAGCGATAATTCCTTCTCCTTAATTCTTCTTCCCATCTCGTTAACAACAATCCTTTACGCAGACATGCGCGCACGCACACACAACATCCACACGCTGCGAGCAATTACATTGCCAATTGATATTCTCTTCTCGCGAAAAGATTCAAGAAACGAATTAAAATATTTCTTCCATGTTTCTCTACGGAATAAAGCAATAACAGAGATTTTTCTTCTTTAATACGCTTATGATATATATATATATATATATATATACATATATATTACGAACGAATAAAATATCATTGCAGGGACCACATTGAGTTTTTAATTCGATAGGGCAAATGTTTAAGCGTTCATAATAAATCGCTTTGACGCCGGTTTCCCACTTTCTTATTCATCGTCGACTTATTAATTTACGTTTCATTATCGCGCAACATGTCGGCATTTTGTGCATGAAACGTCAGAGTTTGTGAGGAAACAGTCGAGCCATTCATTCGACTACCACGTTTCTTTGCTAGTACGTATTCTTGTGGCGATGCTATCGATACGGAAAGACTTATGAGTGTACTGTCCCATTGTGGAGTTGTGATATTCCTTGCGAATTTAATGACTAATATTTAAATATCAATTAGACCTTTTGAAAATCTCTGAAAACTATCGTCTTTGCTCACTTTATGTCATTAAGTTGAGCCATTAAAGTGGCTCAATGTCTAACCCGTTATCTATATCGAATTCGATGGAGCTTTTGCTTCGGATATCTTCATGGTCTAACTTCACCTCTTTCTCTTACCTGAAACAGAATAATATTTGTTCGTTAGCATTAGTTACCGGCGTATCTTATTGTTGGGAGGTGAGAAAGAGAAATGGTAGCAACATTCAAGCGGAAAATCGATATTACAAAAGTGACGTGCGAGAAACATCGTAGAAGGATGACTGCTCGATGTTACGAGTACGAAGAAAATTACTCAACGAATCGTCGCGGTATAATCGTCTATATCGAACCACTGAGACACATTGTACAATTTTCTTCCTAGGACCTTCCTTTTTAACGAATTGTTATATAAGAATAGGTACCTTATTCGTAGTACAACAAGGTACTGTACTATCGCATATACTTGGGTATTCGGAATTATTCGGCCGATTACCACCTCTATACATTAGTATCTTGATTATCTAAAAATGTGTGTGTAGTAAATAATATTTTAATCTCTTTTTAGTTGTTCAGTTCCGTTTTCCTGCGCGATAATCGTTTCCATTGTTCTTTCAGCGTCTGCTCAGATGTTTAAGTTGTTTGAACAATCGATCAATATTACACAAAGCAGGATACTACTTTAGCAGCGACCGATACGAGCGTTAGTTATATCGATTAGATTACAAAGTGGCAATTAAGCGTTGCCGAGGCAAACCAATGAAACAACCTGTCATTTTTTCAAATATCATTAATGAGACTTACGCTTCGAGATTAACATTTTCCACCTTACCGTATATCTATATCCGATTCACCACACGGTTGGGGTATCGTCCGCAGTTAGCCAGGAATTAAAATCAATAAGAAACTATCCAAGTATATTCTAGCAGTAAGAGATCTGTTTGCTGACACTATACAACCGCCACGAGTATTGCTATCGTACCGACAGAGTCCAAAGTTGCTCGGTTTAGTAGGTACCGACCGAAGAAGAAAAGAAGAAAAATTTTATCCATGACCTCTCTGGTACACAAGATAATTTTTTACGGAAGAACTCGTTGCGACCACTCTTTTTACAACTCGTTTCACTCGACAAAAATACTCTAATGAGTTCTAATCGTCGGAAGCTCCTCTATAAAAGATTAAAGTCTCCCCTTGTCGCGAATAATCAGAGTTCATAATTAACGATTAATAGCTTTGGCTAGGAAAAGAGAGACGGACTGTCGAAAGTGCCAAAGAAAATAACGGATAGGAAGAGAGAGAGAGAGAGAGAAAGAGGGAATTTTGTTCTATCCTCCCATGAATGCCAGATGAATTCGTTTTGGCAGCCGTGCGCTTCGTTCGAAGACTCCTTCTAATCCACGATGCGATGGAAGCCTCACAAAGTCCCCTCTGGTATCGAACTGCTTACTACTGTCTCTTCTATCGATGGAAATCGATAGTTTTTCTTCGTGCAACATGACAAACCTAGACTACCTTCATTCAGGGATGAACGATAAACCAGAAGACGAGTCGTCACATCCGGCATCTTTAAATTTTATGAAATTTCAGCTTTAGGATTATCAAAAGACATGATTCGATCTTATAAAGCGAAAGTTACCTTTAGATTAGCTTCTCGAAAATACATAGATCTTTCTTTTTTTCGTTGAGACGTTGTAAAAATATAGGACTTACTGATTAGATGAAAGGAAAAAAAAAACAATGAAGACGTCGATGAACTAAACGAGGAATCATCATATTCATTGATTACTATCGAAGGAATTTTCTATTGCAGTTTAAAGTTGTTTCTGACGGATTCGTGTCTGGGCGTTGCTCGTTCTTCTTGGGATTATATATGTATATATTCGAGCATCGTGAGTACGCACGCGACAGATGACGTCATTCCGTTTACGTAATTCATAGCGGAGTGCAACGAGGATGAGGCAGAGTGACAGAGAGAGAGAGAGAGAGAGAGAGAGAGACGCCTTCCAAAAACAAAATCGATCGTTTCATCAACGACGATAGTAACTCCTTTCCGGATGATCCGGATATAATAATCATCTTAAAGTAACAAATCAAAGATATCTAAGAATAAGTTAATGAAACGAAAATCCCTGAATGTCTGTTATCTATTAGAATTTCGTTACGGTATTTCTCTCTAATATGTATCCATAATACATATGTAAAGAATCCAAAGAAAAAGGAAAGGTGCGAGTGTTAGCCCCATGCGAAAGATCTTTGAGAGAAACGATTCGTAGATCGATCAGGTTTTATTTGCTGCAAGAAAGCCACGCTCGCTTACTTCAATAGAAGAAAACAGAGGTGAAAGCCTTACAGTGCTAATCCAGTTGTCGTTTAATTGTACCGGTATTGCGACCTCGTTGCTGTAACACTGTTCAGGCATCATCCTCTTAAATGATATCAATTATAATGATCGTTTACGATTCTCCGCGTCAATTTCGACATTTCTACGCGACTAAAACTAAAACTATGTTTGCTTCTCCAATATTTCGGTTACAACACTTTATTATTAGGAACAAGCATTCGTACATACATATATATATATATATATATATATATATATATATATATATATGTATGTGTGTACATATGTACGCGCATATGTACGATCGCGAAATCGCTTTAGATGCGGGAAAAAAAATAAGACAAGGTATTTTTATATCGGATCGTGGGGAATTGGTCGAAGGCAAAGGAAAAGGTGACACGTTGCTATTTTTGGAGAGACAGAACGTGCCGGGCCGATACCTGTTTGAAGTGGCTAGTTTTCATTATACACGCATGCTACTCGTATATCGCGCGCAAACTCACTCGTCAAGGATGCTAATTCTCTTCTCTCGTTCCGTCTTCTTCCATTTTCTTCTTTAGCCATTTTTTATTGTTTCACTTATCCCCTTTAATTTCATTTAGTTGGCGACGATACTTAAAACTTATCTTTTCTGATTGCGTAGCCAATCTAAATATTATTAAACTTCAACGCGTTTGGAGCAAATTCGTTGGTATTCCATTCGTTTCAATAGATAATTGGATACGTATAACGTGGCGTTGAGACTAATCATATATATATATATATATATAATGACAGTAAATGGGAAAATACTAGGAATACGTGTTAAAATTTCTACGCTTTGACGAGACGCACAAAGTATCATCTCTTTTTGTGGCAACTCAAGCGTCGAAACTGAGACGACGATTCGGTCGATTAAACCGGTAGCGTGGTATTATCGGTAAGTCGATACAGCGCACAGATAATTCTACACCACCGATCAGTTACGCCTCGAAATAAATATCCAAGTTGACGGTACGATTTAGGTGTGCCCTCGATCATTTTCAACGAATTAAAGACGACTTATGCACTTACGCACAACATCTAATTATATGCACACAAAATATCCGTAACCAATAAAAGTGACCATTTCAAAGTCACTCGAATTATTTATAAACTTGAAAAATACCTATTGTTTCTTATATCAATGAATTCGGTGAGTCGTTTCGTGAGTCGCGAGCGAGCGTACCCATCTCGAACATTAAATTGAACACACCCTTTTACACGACACGCGTACGTGGCTACTTGTACTGCTGGCAAGACTTGAAATTTTTCTAAGGGTGTCTGCAGGCAGACACCCTCGACTTACGTCTACGCAAATTAACTTCATTTTGATCACGCTTTAACAAACGGAGCCTGTCTTTTTAATAGCTTTGCACTTCTCATTAGGCGCGCTACTCTAGAAACCTATCCTTCTTCCTATCTCTCTTTGTTACTACTTTTCGCTTCTCATCGAAAGTACCGCGTTCGAGCACCATATTATCTACTAACGAAATGTGTCTGGACGCGTTGTATTTTTCTTTTTTCCTCTTTCTTCGACCTAATACGTAAAAATATTAACAAAGCTGCGAATATTTCAAATCGTTAACATCCAAGAGAAGTGCCTCCAACCGCGAGCAGGCACCAAGGGATGCTGCGCGACGACGCGCCGTTTTATTATCGATTCCAATGTCTGCCGTTCCTGCCAGTTCTCCCTTTTCCGCACTCCCTCTCCCATTCTAACTTCGACCCCTCGCCTTTTACTCAGCCTTTGTACGCACCCTCCTTTCTACGCCCACGTGCATAGACTTCGTACTTTACGCTGGATTCGTATGCTTTACTGCATCCGATACTGCACGGCAACGTTTTAAAGCCAAACGCTTCAATTTTCTTTTAATCTTTGCGATCAAATTCAAATTGTATTCGTCCAAATTGTAAAGAAAATGTTCTCTTTGAAAGAAAAAAGTAAAAAAAGAAAAGAACAATTTTACTCTTCGTGCAATAAAATTATCTAATGGAAACGATCGGCGATTACGATCACCGAACGAGGAAGATAAGGGAGAGAGCGAGAGATAACACAAATCGGTCGCTGACTCATTCATGAAACAATGCTAGCGATACCGGCGATTTGCGCATATTTAAATGACAGATGAATGATTCTACTTCACGTTGTTGCTCAAATCCGAACGTACGTTCGTCGTAATTCTCAATAAATGATGTCATCGATTGTCATGCCGTAAGTTAATATCGAGGCGACGTCATCTCATTGGGACCGACGACATTGGGCATAGTTGGTAATGTAAAGGGTGCAGGAAGAGAAAATGGGTCACACTTCATCAATTTGTCATACGTGATGTCATCAAGGGCAATTCTATTCAAGAATTTTACACTTAGCCCACAAGATATTAACACAGTGAGAAACGAAATTACTTAATACCTATTAAGAAGATGGAAATCTACGAAAAAATTGTAAATATTTGTAATTTTTCTTTACAATTTACAAAGATATTTCACAAATGTCTCACCGATATTATACTTTCGACTGGGATGCTTCGCAATGGCATATGAATCTACAACTTTTATGATCGTGTATGTGCAAATTTCATGCAAATGTCGTCCTCCATTGAACGGTAATTACCATTACCGACACTCGACCGTTATTACATTTCTCTTTCACGTTCAACCAGCAGCGTGTGCCTACAATAAAATGTTAATTACCACGTATATCGACTTAGATACGAGATTCTTGCATCGTAAGAAATCGCTGGTTAATGCGACCGGAAGTCGTGGTATAACGCCGTTTAGCTTTTAAATCGTAAATAAAGAGGCAAAGATACTTAAAACGTTTACCACCGCAGCTATTTTTTAATGAAAACTTCAAGTCACCGACATTAGACGTCTCTACGAAGTTCATTAAAATACCAGCAGCTTCTGTGCGTTCTTCTTGTACGGCGTCGAATAGACTAAAGCTTGCATTGTTCTGGGTCGTGAATAGGCGAAAGTTCGCATATATATGCATACAACATATACGTGTGTGTGTGTGTATATATATATATATATATATATATATATATATATATGCAAGTATAATCAATGATACAAAAGTAAATGCATATATCGCGTAAGAATTCGATTTTATAATTAATATGATAATTATGCTAGATCTCCTGAACGGTCAGATTGTTCATTTCTCTTAAAAAAATAATGTATTTTACAATAGAGTATTTAAACCGGTTGAAATTCGATAAATCGCGAATCTATCGTTATCGCGGGATAAAAATAACAAAATAATCGGAATTACTTCTTAGATTGCGTCTACTGGCATGATAATGACATAAACCGCACGAACGTTTTCCGCCTAGCGGGATAGACAACGATACGGATTTAACGCTGATGTAATCGCCATGCGATCGGATCTTTATCGACGTGCGGTTGTTAAACGGTTAAAGAGAACATTCCAAGTGAGAGATTATCTTTAATCCATCCTCCGGTGCAGCATGTTTTCGAGCTCCCGACGGCAGGTTGTTTCATCGTCCAAGCAGAAACCCGAAGGAGAGCTTTTTTCATTTGAGTTAGACTCGAGTGAACCTGCTATAGAAAGCAAAGCGACACAGGACAGCTATTGGACCATGGTCCAAATGCGATGCAAACGACTCACTTTGATGTCGTTTAAGGAAAAGGTAATGTGATTAATGTGTAGATAGATCCAAAGGTACGATTTAGAGAATTAGAAGCGACGTCATGTTATGTCACGTTCCTTTCTCTTATGTTCTAATGAAATTAGAACTTAATTATCTGTTAAACCATTTTTCTTAAATCGATATTCCTTCGAATACGAGATTAATGCGTTTGGTCGAAGTAATTGTAGCTAGGTGCTCTACTCATCTCGCTGATGGCCTTTAGAAGATGAGGAGTGATTCTCGTACGTGTGCGGAATCTTGTTGTTCAGCAGAGAGAGAGAGAGAGAGAGAGAGAGAGAGAGAGAGAGAGAGAGAGAGAGAGAGAGAGAGAGAGAGAAACGCAGTCTCAAGGTCTCTTAAACACCGTCAATCCGGACTGGATTATTCACCGCGATATTGCATAATCACGCGCTGGCATTGCTACTCCTTTCGAAAATAGCTGTAGCTGAGAGTACTATTCTCTTCCTCTAATCCGCACCGCCTATTCATTTTCGTCATTATATTAGTTGGCGATTGTATCTATATGGTGGCAAACAGTAGAAAATACTTGACCTGTGAATTTTATCAACGAAAATAAAAACTAATTGACTCCATGGTTTCGGAGTTTATTGGAACAAACGTGGAACTTATCGAAATAACTATCCAATGTCGGATCTTATTCGTAATTAAAATATTGTAATTATTTTATGGACGAACAACCGGTTATATCGTATGAGTCGACCTCGTACGCTATCGTCCATACGGCGCTTCTCTAGAAACAGATAGAAAGAGATAAAAGCTTCCTCAGCGATTCCGTACAAGCACTGGATATACACATTGTGGGATATCGTGTGTGGGTGCGTCTTAGGGTGTAGACGGGATCGAGTAGTTTTTTCTCCTCTTTTTCCGCACGTTCCTTCCGTCGTTCAATTCGAGAAGCTTTAACGGTCACTGAACTTGCTCTTCTGTCTGTTCTTGCTCATCGTCGCGCTGTCCACTCTATTATAGTTGGACGAGCTGGTAGCGTAGGAGAGGTACTCGTTAATAGGCCAAACGCGATTGATCACGTGCCGGCACGTTGTGGAATTTCAACAAAGCTTCCACTCCTCCTGGAGATCGTTGCTTTCACTGAAACTAATAGTCGTGAGATTTTCACTACGGAAAAGACGTTATACTTAGGTTTGCCAAATTTTTTCTGCTCGTTTGACTGCTCGTTTAAATGGGTATGTTGGTGAAATTTAATTGCGCTCATTTAATCTAACATCGAATCTTGATAATTCACAGATCCTTCTCGCATAGCGTTTAGAAGTGCAGTTCGTGAAATTGCTTGAATATAGGTACGTACATAAAAGAGTACAACGGTTAGCAAGCACACGTTGCACACGCAAGAAACGATATTTTTAATAGCGATGAAAAACGTTTTGGGGGAAGACCAGGTATTGAACGTGGGGCTCTAACGAGAAAGATAGATAGATAGATAGATAGAGAGAGAGAGAGAGAGAGAGAGAGAGAGAGAGAGAGAGAGAGAGAGAGAGAGGGAGAGAGAGAGGGAGAGAGAACCTTGGACCCACGAAGAACGACGAGCTTTCATAAAACGACGAGCGCCTGCGTATTATTCGACGTCACGCATCATGATGAGTCATTAAGTGATCGTAGAGCTGGAGATGCGAGGGAAGAGTCGTCGTTCTTTTGCCAATTTTTTTTCTTCTTTTTTATCCGTAAGCTCGACCGCTCGGCCGCGTTCTTTTAGCCGCGATTAACCAGGATATGACGGATTAAATTGAATGTCGATCGAGACGAGTGAGTAAGTACCGCCGAAATCGTTGAAAACGGCAATAGGTTCACTTAAACGGAGAAGCCAAGCGGAAGCGTCTATCAAATTGCGGATGGCAAACCGAGCAGAGTCGCGCCGTTCCATTTATGGTTTCAGAGGGTCTTCCGATTAAGGTCGCGGTACCCACCATCGACGTTCAGTCACGGCAATTCTGCAATTACACACCCACAAACATCGTTAGCTCGTTGACGCTCCTTAATTTCTTAATGGACACCATTTGACAATATACATTTTTGTATTCCCGTTAATTTTTTTTTTCGTTGCATGACTTTTTCTCTGATATAGACTGATATATAAGTCAGAAAGTACGAATCGACGATGTACCGAGAAAGCGCGATGCATCGTGAAAATCGTGCGAGTCCGTGCGAGCGCAGTCTCTCGGGAAAAAAAATGCGATCGTAATCTATCCTTGTGAGACCTTGACAGCTCGTTCGAGGGACACTCGTTCTTTTATCTGATTTCATGGCCAAGACCATGGCTTAATGTACGAAAAAATATGTGTATGAAAGAAAAGGCGTGAAATAAGTTCTATGGCATGCTGCGAGAGGCAATTTGTCTTACCAATGTGATTTAAAAAGAGAACATCGAGTATATCGAAGCAACGATTCGTTAAATTTTTGACGATGCGATCATATTTCTTCTCTCTTACCCTTTTCTCAATAGTAAACTCGCGAAATTAATAGCCGAGATAACGATCACATCGTTCGGTGTAGTTATTTTCCTACACGTATATACTATTTTCACGTTATTATAATCGCGATTGCCGTGGTGCACGATAGTCGGACAATTTTTAGTACCTGGTACGGGAAAAGATACGAGCTTTCGTTGGGACAGGTCGAGCGTTTAATGTCGCCTTGAAATGAATTGTTATAATCTAGGAAGAGAATACGACACGCATTTCCCATCTCACGTTCGCGACCACAATGAGCTTCGACGAAAGAATTATGCAAAGTAAATTAGGCGCCCGAATTAAAGAGAGAGAGAGAGAGAGAGAGAGAGAGTCTCGCTTGGAACGACGAGATAATCGGCTAATTCTAAGATGGCTTCCTAGTTTTTCTACGCGCTTGTACGGCTCGCTTGTTTTGATTTCATATCAACCACGATAAATTCTTTCAGCGTCTCGGAGAGAATCCAATGGCTCCTATCAAATGGCTCCTAATCAAATAAAAACCAGAGAAAAACTGTTCGCTCGGCATGCATTATTAATCCAACAAACAGCTAAGGAGTTTCCACACTTTTCCATTTGGTCTTCGTTAGAGTCAACAAATCGATCGTATCAATCGACCGCGTCTAATCGGATGCTAACTTTTAACTCCGAACCATTTGCCATCGCATTATCCGCGACACGATCTAATCGAATGACAAAAATTATGTAATAAATATATGGAATCTATGTAAAGTCTTGTATAAAAATCGACTAATATCGGGAAAGAATAGTTCGTCGAAGAATGTACGACGAGTGTCGTAAATTACGGCGCCAAGCGGTTCGTTGACTTTTTCTTCTTTTCGAGCCATCCTTGTCACACGCGAGCACTATTATTCAAAGTGGTCTCGGAGTTATGACCGTTGTTTATCAAATTGCAAAGCAAGAGTACGAGATAAATCTAGACGAAGGATTTCCATAAAAAAAAAATGTGTTATCGCCAAGCTTTTCTTATTTTAAGCTGATATAGAAACTTTGAGCGCACTTTCGCTTAACGTCAACGTCTTGTCTTTGGATATATCTATAGAGTTTATCTATATCGATGTGTATGCGTTTATCTACATGTACGTATATAGAATAATACCTCTAGTGTTTGCACGCTTACAGATTCTGCGATACCGACATTCAAGATTTAGATATCGGGGAGACATAAGCGACGATGCTAAAATCTAATTCAACGTAAGAGCGAAAACGTTTTGTAACGTCGAAAGATAAAGCCAAGTAAATACTTTTCGAGTAATTTACGTAAAATGTACATATCGTTTGAGCGATAAGTATATAGTAGCTAGTAGCGGATCGATTCCTCTCGATAGATGTAAATTGGAAGACGCAGTTTTATGTAAATCCATTTAGTGCTTTGTACTTTACGGCGTCTTTTCGAAACTAATGGAACAGGTGCATACATAAATATATTATGTCACATACGTATGAATTGCTACGAAAGTAAATGGTACCTTTTAACGGCTCTTTCTAATATTTTTCTCATTATCTCGATTATCGGCTATATCCATTCGGCACGATAAATCGTCGATCGAGGTAGCAACATTGCAAAATCTATTTTTCAAGATTTTTCCATGATATCGGACACGGCTCAAGAGCCAAGATGGCGGGGCCGTGGCGTCCGACCAATCAGACTTTTCTACCGAGGTACGCAAGAGCCGCGAGGAACGAGGAAATGCGTCAAACTCGGTAAAAATCAAATGTGTTTAGCACAAAAGAGATCTCCTCTACCTGTTCTAAATGCCGAATCGTCCTGCTGTAGCCTCTTCGATGCTGCGTCCTCCTTGATGGGATTAGTTTGAACGTCCGTCATATTTCGCTCTTTATTATTTTTTATCTTTTTTTTCGTTATCTTAGCTTAGAGTTTGATGTTACACTTTCTTTCTTCTTCAGGGCTTGCGTCTAATGCACTCGTTAATGAAAAATTCAGCGATCGGATCGCTGAAAGAGGCGAAAATACGAAGCAGTGATCTGTCATCCGAGATTAAAAGAGGAGGAAACGCGCGACACTTGCGACGCGTTTGAACTGACTGTCCTGAGCGCCGACTTGCCGGGCAAAGACATAACTCCATCTCGGAAATATCCGAAGTCAACCGAACTGGTGCAACGCGCACGCGAAGTTAGCGTTCGACGCACGAGATTTACCGATGTGCCGCGAATGATCTTTTGGCGGGAGAAAGGAAAGGTGTATGTGTGCGTGTGTGTGTGTGTGTGTGTGTGTGTGTGTGAGAGAGAGAGGTATTGTATTATATTTTTTTCGATATTTTTTCTACCCGTGTCTTACCCGAGATAACAGTCATATTATCGATAAACGTATCTCATTCGGTAATAATTGACCGTGATTTTTCTTTCTTTTCTCTTTTTCCCTCCCTTATCTTACGTCGATTTCCCTCCGCTACGTTTTTATTATCGCTCGGGCATCGGCATTACTTCTCTAAACTCTCCCGATAGTTCGATTGCACTTATTATTTTTTATGTATTTCCATGCGCGTTTCAAATTCTCGATCGAGTAAATGTAATTATTATTAATAATAGATTCCCCTATGAGACCAGAGGAAAAAAAGTTGAATTATTTTAATAACTTTGTTCCAGGTGATAATTAAAAGTATAAAATTATTAGTATAATATTTTTATATCGGATCGTTGACGATATACTTTTTCTTTCGTGTGAATTTTTTTTTTTTTTTTTGTTGACAGGGATAACATGTGAACATTTATTTTTGGCAGTCCCCGAATCACGAGGACGTGTCATTTATTAAAGTAACAATACGAAGTGTGTAACTGAAAACCGATCGTTTAGTTAAACTTTGTACAAATCTTGTTTAAAATATGAGACCCTAGACGCGAGATCGTGCATTTATTAATCGTGCGTCTCTTTTACGTGTCATTTTTCTTTCTTTTATTTCTTCGTTCGTATTTTCGATGATCTTTTTGCTTCTTGTTTGGATAATCCTGAGGATTTTTATGGATGTTACTTTTCCTTCGTTTTTTTCTTTTTTGTTCTTTTTATTACTTTTTTTTTTTTTAATGAATTTTATACGGAAATGTGAAGAGATGCGATCAGCAAGGTGATCGCGCGATGAATTAACAAGGGATGAAGAGAGCATGATGAATATGACAAACGTATCCTTCGCCGATGCGTAGCTTAGAAAGGTAATTGCCGAAGAGTCGGAGAAATTTCTTTGTATCTATGATTCCTCTTGCGTTCTATCGCACAATCTGCGTAGGAACGCTGAAAAGAAGAGTTATGTGTTAAATTATTTCATATTTTGTCGTTGTTTGTAAATGCGACAGGACGTCTTTAAATTGACAAGACGGATTTTTAATTGACAAGTCGTACTGATCGTACGATTGTACGAAAGGTACAATATCTACTGTTTTTTGATATAATTCAATCGATATTTTGACGTTCGATTCGTCGTGTCAATTGGAAACAACGTGTCGTTAATGGTACGACTTGTTTCTGCGTAAGCATTGAACAAATATTACATTGCAACAATTTCACGTACGTATACGTGTTCGATTTAGAAAAGCATAGATAGAATTTGGAAAAATTATTCGTAAAGCAATAACAAGAATAGGCACATATTACACATACATATTATTTAAGAAGAATAAGAAGAAATGGAAGAGACTGATTTGGAGTTAAAAGACAGGCACAAACGCGTTGAAGCGGGACAATTGTATTTTGAAAGAACCGTGAATCATCTAAGAATGGTCGATTAAACGAATCCTAAAATGTTTTGAAAAATTGCAAATCGTGCACTAAGGGAAGTAACTTTTTGTTTTTTTTTTTTTTCTTGTCCCAGAAACGATCGTATTGTTTCAAGTGGGACTTGGCTCCAGCCGATTCACGGATCTTAACTTACAAACCTCAAGTTCTCGTACGTGCTTTTGTGTAAGAAGCAAAGTTATCGATTTCAGCATCCCTGTGGCGCCGCAAACCTACGTCCTATAAATTGTCGTACGTACGTGACCAGACAAGGCGAAATAAAGCGATGACATTTTCTGATGAGAAAGTAGAAAAATCAAGAGATAGAAAGAGACGACAGAATGAGACGAAGAAGCACATGAGGAAGAAGACAGGGAAAAGGAGGAGGAGGAGGAGGAGGGAGAAGAAGAAGAAGAAGAAGAAGAAGAAGAAGAAGAAGAAGAAGAAGAAGAAGAAGAAGAAGAAGAAGAAGAAGAAGAAGAAGCTAAAGTAGCGTGAAAACGAGGACGCGTCTACTAGACGGGGACACTTACGATCGATGACCTCACAGCGTACCAATGGCATCCGGACAGCTTACAAAAGCACCATCATCTTCTTCAAGAATGCTGTGAAATACAAATAAAAGATGGACGTTTCAAATAAAATGGACAATTACGATGGGCCCGTTTTTGTCTTTTTATCACGTTACTTCCATGTTGTCCGAACGTTTTGGCTGCCTCTATAAATGATTTTCTTTCCTCCTCTAAATATAAAACTAGTCGTGCGTCTAAATCTCTACTATACTAAGGTGATCATCATTCCTGTAGGAGCGTCGGATAGGCTAGTTAATCGCCTGTTAATGTATATCGATTCGACATGTCAACGGGGCATAATAAACTGGACATTAAAAAACAAACTATTGGTTTTTGTACAATCTCTTTCTATTGGATTCTTCGTTCGTGCTTCGTTCGTGCTTCACACTAACGCGATGCAGGTCTTCTAATTTTCTTTACCTCTTTGTTTCTCTAATCGGGATGGTGCATTCAAATATCATAAAAGTAATTAGGAGATGTTTAGATGCTTACGAGTATAAGGGATGAATCCGTCGTCGTCTTCCGGATCCATGCAATCCTTTAACACCGTCTCGACTTCGGCATCGGCAAGGCGCTCGCCTATCGCAAATAAAAAAATTACAATGAACGATTTACGATCCGACGATAATAAATTACTTGTATTTACTTTTAAATGAATAATATTCAATTATTAAACGTCGAATTATCAATTCGTGAATCGTACCGAGCGAAAGTAACGTATGAGACAATTCGGCGGCTAACATGGTACCATTTTCTTGCTTGTCGTAAAGCTTGAGACACTCAACAAAGTCCTCGAAACAACCTTGCTCCTTGTCCTTTTTGCACTGGCTGAAGATTGGCAGGAACTCGTCCAACTTCATCTTCTTCTCGCCTTTCTTCTTGGTACCGCCCAGTTTTTCAATTGTTGCATTTGTTGGGTTGAGGTTCAAGGCTCGTAGAACGTTTCCAAGGTCGACGCAGTCGACGACGTTGGTACCATCGGCATCGTAGATAGAGAAAGCAAATTCTGCTTCTATTTTGTAACGAGATACGTGTACATTTATTTGCTATAATATGATATTGCAAACGTAAAGCAATAAATTCTTCCCGATCGGCCGAATATTCGCGTAGCTTTAACTTAAAACGGGATATACGAAATTTGGGTTAATATCATCCTGTAATAGGTACTGCGCGGGTATCAGGTTCAAAAGTCTGAATCTATTTTAAGTCCGAGCATATATCCCCACTCTGGGAACCGATTCAAGAACTCGCTGGTAGAAGTAGTGGGTCAGATTACCCCCGGCGAACCATATAAGAACAGCGTCCTGACTATTTTTGACATCTTGCTCCGACATTAGCGTAGAGCTTTCTTCGTTTCTTTCCTGAAACACGCTCGTTACGTAACGGTATTTTAGTTGACCGACATATTGCTCAATATTTCGGAAGTTCTATCAATCACTAAAATTATACCGATGATTTCTCAACCTATAATGATATTATGACAATCAGCAGTTTAATTAATATTATTGATCGATGATTTGCCAAAAGCAATTGGTCTTTTCCAAAGTCTTAAAGAGAAGAAAAGAGGATCGAACACGAATCGAACTCAAGTTCGAGTTAACTCGTATGTCTTTTAACTTTATTTTACGAGACACCGACATAAGATATAAGAACGAATTAATTTATGCATCGCTAATGTCACACGAGAAGGGGTTCCGTTTACGGAACTTTATCTTCACCTAATTATTTAAATCCTCTCTCTATTTATTACTCACTCTCAACGTCCTTGGGGCTGAGGTCTGCCTGTAAAATAAAACACATACTTTTTTCAACGGATCTCCCCTAAATCCGACTGTGTCATCCTAATTCTTATTCGAGTATAGTTCGGGATTTTGAGAAAAAAATATTTCATCAAAAATCAATCAATCTGCGATTTTGATCATGATCATGATCCAAACGTTCGTGTTTAATTAACATAAGGAACGATTAAATTAAATGAAAGCTCGACGATCCGAGAAAGTGCGGACTCACCATTGTTGATTGTCTGGTGCTTCTATGGGATGCTGATCTCACGGAGGTAGAAACAGAAGTGGTACCGGGTGTTACCAAATTTATTCATTTTATTTCTACAGATGGCGCGACGATCGAGATAGACGAGAAAGATCATGCTGAAACAAAGTCATCTCGACTAAGAAGAGAGCATTGGCAACGTTGCGGTCCAAAAACAGTTCGAGAAGAAGGAGCTCTGTGCTTAAAGTGTGCTTCCTACTACGATAAATGGTTTTCAACAGCGGTATATCAGGGTTGCCAGATCTGCAGTGGCATTAAAAAACCGACACAAAATACATATGTATATAGATTCCAACTTGTCCTTCGATTCCTGCTACGGACCCTTGATGTACGGCGATTTTTTAGCGATTTTGTACACACACACATATATATATATATATATATATATATATACATATATATATATATGCATATATATTTGGACGCAATTTTTATTTCACGTATTATCTGCTAGACCAATTCTACGATTGTTATACGAGTATATGCACATAATCATGGCGAAGTTGCGTGCTTGGTAAACTATCATAGAAACTGACGATACAATGATGTTCACGCGCAAGCGAGAGAGGCGTATCTTTATAAAAGTATAATAAAGAATTTCTAGAAATTGGCAAGACACTTTTCAATTTCTTTTCTTTTCTTAACGCTACGTCTTTTTTCTTTCCTCTCCCCCTCAGACGTAATTCCGTCGGTGGACCATGCGATGATCAGACACTGTCCGAACTATTTTTACTTGCTCGGCACACCGTCGACAACCGATCGACGCTACGTTCACCGTGGAGCGTCGCGTTGCTATAAAAAAAAGTACTCTATCGGAGCGGATATGTATAAACAAATAGAAAAAAAAAAATGCTTCCAAAGTTGCGTCTCAGTCCTCGAACGAAAACATCCTATCAATTTTTTCCACGCTTGAATCTCTTTAGGAAGAACCTCTTGAGCCTTCGACCCAAGCTCTCCCTTTTCTTCTTCTTCTTCTTCTTCTTCTTCTTCTTCGACTTGATTGTCTTGTCGGTTTCTTTCGTTTCCGGAAAGATATCACAAGTTTCTTCGATTTCGTCAATGGACGTTTGCTTTGGCGGATACTCCGTTGCATTTTCCTCGAGATAAACCTCATCGAACGAAAGATTTCTCGTAGAAGAGGCACCCGACATCATCATTGACGACTTAACTTCGTCCCTGTCCTCGTCCACGAATTGCCTGATCGATCGAGTTTCCTCGATGATGCTCTCATGCGATCCTTCGTTATTTTCGATTATCCGAATCAATTTTTCCTCCTTTTCCTCCCAAATCGTAATTTCTTCTTTGACCCCTTTATCAGAATCGTTGCGATTTAGGATCGTCTCCTCGGTGGTCACGGTCTCCAACTCTTCGATCATTCGGTGCAATAAATTGACAGATACTTTGGTGGCGGCATCGTTAGTACCAGGTTGCTCTATTTCTTTGACATATGTCGTTGGCTTTGTACGTTTCTTCTTCGACGACTCGGCGGCATCGTACGCGATCGGCTCGACGTCACCCTGACCTTGGATGTCGGACATCTCGACGAACGTATTATCGTTCGTTGTGTCATCGACGTTGGGCCATGCATTTCTTCTCATCTAATTCGAAAGCAAAGTCAATGAATATGATATTGTGCTCGATATTTATATATATATATATATATATATATATATATATATATATATTGGTAAATTATATATATATTTTTATTATAGTAATTATATATATATATTGGTAAATTTTTTATATTTCGATCGACCGGTCAATTTTTCGATGGTATATGGAAATAACGTTAATGGATTGCTTTTTATTATTCTCTTTTTTCAATTTCTTCTTTCCTTTTCTCTTTTCAATCTCTTCACTTATTACCTGGCATTCCAAAAGTGACATGGGGCACGACAATATATAAGACGAGTCACCAATTTGCACACCTCGTAGGCCATGGACCAAACTCTCTGTCACTTCCTTTCCTTCTTCCTCGTTGTAGCTCATATACGTTTCATTGCGTCGCGTATGACTGTGCGACGTTTCTAAATAAAAATAAACCGATATATAAGTACATGCCAATGTCTCCAACGATCGCGTAATGATCTCCTTAGGACCTTTATTAAATCGTATTTTAATTTTATCAGAAGCTTCAAATACTATCCGATCTATCAGGCCTCGTGCGAACGTCTCCACCGTATGGTCTTGGAGCATTCTAGCTCGATTGGCAAATTAATATGAAAGTTATGCGTTATGAGAAATCGTGAGACGTCCGTCGATGATCGTCGTCTTGCACATATCCTGTCAATCGGCTATATTCAGATGTCGCGAGCTCGAAATGGTCGAATATCGAAAAATTAATCCACAAGTAAATGCGTATGTAACGATTGAATATGGCAATGGGAACCATTTTTATATTCGTAAATCCGTTAATTCTATATCTACGTAATCAAATTATTATCAGTTAATACGAAATATATATAATGAGGCTCTTCTCGATCTTGATTAGATTAATCACGTGTACGATTTGATAACAGTATATAAAATATGTAATAAAAGAAATGGCCATCTAATAAGGCGATTATTAACTATAGGATATATAATGTGATCGATAACATTCGATTCGTTAAGTTCCGTTTAAATCCGTATTGTTGATAGGATTGTTGAAAGATAATGTTAAAGTTGGAAAAAGGTCGCTCGTATAAATGAAAACGAAGGAATATTTAAGATGGTAATAAAGCGTACGCTAGGTGGGTAAAATGGGTTGCGTCTAGAGTTGGTAAAGAGTGGTGTCGACCTACCCCGACCCATCCTCTTAAGAGAGTAGGGGTGGTCCAGCGAGCAGATTCCTGGGCTGATCGATGAAACGACCGGCGCATTGGATTTTCCGAGAGTCGCGCGCGCACACATTCCCATCGTTTCCACGGCGTACGTAACGTCCCTCCACGCCTCTCAGTTAGTCACGATCCTGGCGTCGTGGTGCATCACCCTCCGGTCTTCTGTGTTATCTGTCTAAATGAAAATCACCCAAGTGTGTCATGCAAAGTAGGCTAAAAGACTGGCACGTGATATCCCTCTGATAACTTTGCTCCTGGCTTATCGCGCCTGTCATCATCCTGCCTATCAACATTTACCTTACGATAGTGCCTTCTCCGTTATCCGTGCTAATCCTTTGGCCAATGCGTAAAAGCTCCGTTAATATATCCATTGAGCGTGGATTTTCCAAGCGAGAAAAAGTATATTTAAGTGATCGGTCATCAACGTACATTCTCCATATTTCCCAATAATTTAGGTACGTAACTTCTCTACTAGGCATATATTCCGTAATATAGGGCATAAACCCATAGAAAGGATTGCGATCGAATAAGCAATACGCGCTAAGTCATTCGAATATTTACGTTGTAAATTGGAAAACGATTGAAAGAGATATCGTCGAATGGTACATATATACACACGTGACGATGGTGTGAAAGTCATGCCGACGGGATTGATCGATTTTCTATTAGCAGTACGTGTGTCGTAGACGTACTCCGTTACGCAAAACGTAAACACGTTTTACAGGTTACTCCAAGAATAATATGGAAAGACGTAGATCCATCAATGGGAGCCTCAATGAGCATACTTTACCTATTCCAGTGCAGACGTTCCTCTGGCAACAGTTAAGGTACGATAACGCTTTAACTTTCTTATCCCGAGATGAAAAAGAAAATGGATCTTGCTCGAGGAGAAATTCCTTAAATAGATGCAACGTTCCAGGCCTTTCATACGAATGAAACTTGGAAAATTACATGAAGCATCCTGCACGGTAATATTTTTCGATCGAAAGCTTATCAAAAAATTAGATAGATCTTATTTTAGATATTGAACGAGTCATGGAACAATTACCTTAGATAAGTTAAAAATAACTTCCCCGGTTTGATCTCTTTTCTTCTTTCTTTCCTAATTCTTTTCACGCGGCCACCACTGCTCGTGGCCATCTCTAACTTCAGTTCTGTCAACACGTGCCAGGCCATCACGTAAGTTCACTAAGAGATCCATTCAAATTAATATAATAAATGTTGAATCAATCGATAGATCGATCAATCAATCAATCAATCAATATTAATTGCTCTTCCTTGCCTCTTTTTTTATATATACGTGTATATATATATATATATATATATGTATATATATATATATATGTATATATATAATCAGGAGATGAAGGAAGCCTGCACGGTCAGTATGTTGAAATGAAAATTTGTGAGTTCTTCCGACAAGAATAAAAGTTTATCTCGTACGGCGCTTATTTCTACTCGCGTAGTCTCTAGAGAAAGTGTTGGTCCAAAATCTCCACAATGATCTGACGCCGTCGTTGAGCATAATATTGGGCGCGATGCCACGTTGGCGTTTGATTCAGGCAGCCCTACCATACGTTCTCCACGCGACAGCTAATCTTTTGCACAATAGGTGAGCACTTTTGTCCTCGTACATTTTTCCTTTTCTCTCTCCCCCTCTTTTTAACGGTCACACTGGCATTACACTTGGCACCACTTTTCACGCAAACGCTTCCTTCTTATCGTTGCTCTTTAAGGAAGGATCTTCAAAGTCTCGGTGCAATGGAAACGACACTTCTTTATATCCTTCATTGGATCTTACTTGATGCCGCCGAGGAATGTGCCGAACCCGATGTCGATTCAGGAAATCCTTTCCATTATTTATTCTCGATACCGACGATGACGGTGAGGCACAATCAAGCGCTTACTCAAAATCGTTACTTTCGTTTCATGCCATTAATACCATAATGGAACGATGGACACGATTTGTTTACAATTTTCTTCCAGCTGTTCGTCTATCTCTTCGCTCCGCTCTGCAATTATTTAAAGGACATCGATTTCAAGACAAATTTGCGACTGGAAAACGGATTAAAGATATGGACTGCGATGTACGAATGTCGGCATCCCGATACAGCCTGTTTCACGGCCCATTGCCGGGTAAAGCCTCGCGTATTGTGGAATCGTTCTTTTAAATTCGTTCAACATCATCAAATGCCGGACGATGTTTTCGTCGGTGGAAGTGAGTAACGATCAACGACACCGAAAAATATTCCTTCCCCTACTTAACCGATATGTAGTAACCTGTTCTAATTGCAGACAGCGAGAGCCCACTTAGTCAATCGGTGGTTAATACGTTGACCGATCAGAATAATATTTCTCAGAATGTTTCTCAGAGTGTGGAGAAAAAGCAGGACGAGGAAGTAAGTTTTGGCCTATAAACAGATTCGCGATCGTTATCATACTTGTAATATTATTAAGGAACGAAAACAAGAATGTTTGCTTTTCGATAGAGTCCTTGGGTATCTTCGCCAAAGGATACTGCATTTCCGGAAACAATACCCGAAGAGAATTCAGGTGCCGAAGATGAACACGTGGTAAATGAAACATATCATTCTTTCTCTGATACATCCACAGATGTTTCTTTTTTCTGAAGCGTATCAAACTCTCACTCCTTTTCTTTTCTTTTTTGTTTTTTTTTTTTTCTCGTTTCTCTACATCCCTAGGTTATATTCAGATTGTCGTCACTGGGCGAGTCCGATAGAGGAATCGACGGGATAAAAGAAGTGTCAACTATATTCGCCGTGAGTTAATTAATCGCAATTAAAGTTTTGCGAGATAAAATATGTCTGTTAACGACGCAGGATGAAACCAGCATATTTCACGTTGCCATGGGTAGAAGTACCGGTTCATCGAAATCTACCCTTACGATAGAGAAAGTAACAGCAATTTCCGGATTGGATAGTTGCAGGCAATATTACAGGAAACCCTCTCAAAGAGCGAGGTTTATCCTTTTCGATAATAATATTGTATTAATTATTCGATAAATATTAAAACTAATGTTCTCGGTTAATTTTTGGGATGAAATAAGAGGGTGATATAACATTTGCAGTACGGAAAAGGAAAAAGAAGAAAAGGCATCTAAGACGGAGAAAGAGGCGGAAAAAGAGAAAAGTAATTCAAAAACGTCGGGTCAACATCAAAGCTCGCCGTCCGATACGTCAGGTCAGACGGCTGATCATATTCTCGAGGTTGATATTCGGGCAGCAACGTTTCTCGACGTAGCTGTTCTTAGATGTCTCTTCGTATCACAGTGGCAAGAAGAAGGAGTATATTGGGCCTTGCAGTTTTTATACCATCGGTCTGTTATAATATATCATTGACGATTTGCTAGCTAATGAGAAAATTTATTAATGACTTAAAAACTATTTGCACCGCAGATTGCGTAGAATAAATGAGGAGAGTTCGGTGCAACAGATGCCTCGTCGACGTAGTAACTCCTTGCCAATACCAAAGATCGAGGTCTCTATTTATCAGAGTCCCGAGAGCAAAAAGAAAGACGTTTCGAAAGATTTCATAGAGATTCCAGAAGTACGAGATGTTTCTTTGCTGGCGGGTATATATAAAACGCTAACATACACATGGCAGTTCGTCCCTCTACGCTTATCCATTATCGTACAGAGTTCGGGACATTTTCAGAATTACCGTGCCTAACTTGCAAAGGTCACGACGGAGAGTCAAGTCACACGAGACGTGCTAGCGAAAAGACGAAAAAACGTATGAAAATGGCCGATCTCAAAGCTTTCGTCGAGACAAAGATATTGTCAAAATCGGAGAAAGCCCTTGAAAAGATTGGTCAGGAAGAGCACAAGATGCTATTCGAACAGGTAATCTTAAATCCCTTTTTTCGAGGGTCGTACGCACACACACACACACACACACACACACACACACAATGTACTTTCATTCTCTTTTTTCATGTACCAGGAATGTCACAGGAGCCTTGATACGGGTGACGACCACTTGACGAGACCAATATCAACGAGTTCGAAAATCTTCGAAGCAAAAGACGTAGATCATATAAAGCATCCAACTAATTTAATTAAAGGAAAGAGCATGCCAAGTTTGAGGTAGGCTTAGCTATTTGCGTGCTTCTAAAGACTCTAGATTTTCGTTTCTTCTATTGTATTTTATACGATTTTTCTCTCTTTAACTTTTGACTTTACTCGTTGGTCCATACGTATATACGGTATATATTATACATGCATATATAGGTAGGCATTTGTTTCTAATAACACTATCTAACAATTTTCTCACACGTATATTTTCTCAAAACATTATAGTACCATTATAGCATTGTATGTATGTATGTATGTATGTACTGCGTAGACTAGGATAAAATATTAAAAGATTCGAGTTAATAATGTCCTAGCGGAAAGAAAGGACTTTTCGTTGCGCTTAGGCTGTTTGCAAAAAAGATAAGCGTTTCGTTAGAGCGACAGTAATTATTTCATGTAGACTATTATCAGCATTGGGTATACAATTGTTGTTTTTGAAAGATTATCCATAAAAGTGGGATAATATCAAAAGATACAACTTGACATGAGAAAATAATTGAATCTGATTAGTTTTAATTAATGATTGAAACAATTCTTATACCCTAAAGCTGAAGGGCTCGTACGACCGAATGACAAGCGGTCAAGAGTCCTATAAAATCAGTGCTTACATATTGATAAGCCTATCGTAAGAATTTGTGCGTAATGTCTTTCTCTGTATGTGTCTCTTTTCTCTCTCTCTCTCTCTCTCGTTCGCCCTTTCACCCCCGAACTCGTGCTCAGCTGCTTGATTAACGAGCTGACCGCGGGAGGGTAAGTCATCAACGTCACTCGGAGGAAGTTACGTACTGCCAGTTCGGTTCACACTGCTTCTTTTACGAGCTTCTCGCTTCCGGTAGGGCGCACAGTTATCCCTGAAACATAGTCACACAAAATAAGAAACAAACTCGCACATCAGCACTTTTACCTGGTATCCGAGACAATGCATCACGTCCCTTTACTTTTCTCTCTCTTTCTCTCTCTCTCTCTCTCTCTCTCTCTCTCTCTCTCTCTCTCTCTCACTGTCTGTCTGCCTGTCTCTCACTATCGTGTGCCCTTTCGTACATAGTTTTGGTCTCTCGGTCTCTTGATTCCGAGGGCCGGGGGGGGAGGTTGTCTGTCGCACACTGAACACACCTACATAATTATCAATTTTTAGTTCCACACTATACGCTTACACAACAGAAACGATAAAGCATTTTTGATTATAGATATTCTCATTCTCCAAGTGCACAGTGCGTGTAACGAAGCCGACGTTCATTTTTTGTGAAAAAGAAAAAAAGAAAAAATAGCTTCCCAACAGCCAACAGAAAGCATCACTGATCATCGCGCTTTTGCAAATTTACCGCCATACCATGCATTTGTCGCCACGTTATACGCTACGTTATACGTTTAAATAGAGGGGGAAAAAAAAAAGAAAAAAAAAAAAAAAGAAATGGTTTTACCATTTAATTTTAATTTACCTATAAATGGCAATTTGTACATACTAGTGCATGCAATTAGACGATTCAATCGACGTTGCTTCAAATTCGATCAGAAAGTTTGTCGATATGTGTATATACGTTTTATTGAACAAATAGATAATTTATAGCACTTGCGTAGTCTGAAATCACGTTTATCGAATTTGGAGCAATAATGAGATAATGAGATTAAATGTAAAAAAGGAAGAAAAGTAAGAAAAGAAAGAGGAATAAATGGATAAGAAAGGAGGAAGGAAGGAAAGAAAGAAAAAAAAAGGTGAAAAGAATGTCGAGCATGCTTCGCGGAACAAGAGGCACACGATAGTAGATTAAGGTTGTAGTGCTTGATTAGGGCTCTCGTTTTTGGCAAGTGTGGCATGGGGTAATACGAAATATTTTCATCGCGATAACTTTCTGATCGATCCTAAATCACCTAGGTACATTGGTGACACGCGTATCGAGAGGAAACAAGGTCGATTTTATAGTCAATCTTACACCGCACCAAACCCTATCATCACCGTCACGGAACACACGCCTACTCCGTCACCAGATTATATGAAACGTCAGGTTAGATCTACTACACTTTATATAACATTTTCAATAACATAATGGATTCTGTGATACATCCACATTTATATTAATTATTTCGAAAAG